TCCTCAATAAACGGGCCATCTAATGCAAAAAAACTTTTTCATATCGGATTAGCAGTTCCTGAGATTAGCGCGTTTAAACAAACAAACTTAGATCTGTTGGCTATTTTTGATACTAACGTCAGCATTTTACAGTAGGTACTACTTACTGAAAGGTAAATTAGTTCCGACTGGATCTGCTCTCAATAGATAGTAAGTATGTAATATGTATAAAACCATTAAAATGTAAATAATTTCGTTATCTTAATGTGAATAATTCGTAGAAGTTATGTTTATTAACATATCTAATATATTTTTTGAAAATGTGGTAAAGTAAATTTTTATAAAACTAGTTCGTCCCTAGTTACGTTTAGTATGGATTTCTCTGAGAATAGATATTTTCCAGCAATAAAAAGTATCCTATTATGTTGACCCGGATAACCAGCAAAATATATCCGCGAAAAAATCCGAACAGATAGATTTACCTATTTAAAATGTCAAATGTTCGCGTAAATCTAAGAAAGTACTAAATAATATTAAATAATTTAATATGTCCATTTTTTTTATGCGAGAGAACAGTTCACATAGTCAGCTATTTGATGCTATCCACGCTGGACTAGAAATATATGAAAAATAAATATTTTTCCTTATTTACATTATTACGCCTTGTAAGTACTGACAGATGTTGCGCATTTTGTCTTTTAATTTCACCTCTGTCATCGGTTTATCACATTGCGTCACTTTTCCTGGAATTTAACAAAAAATAGCGTACCAGTACGTACAATTTTTATTATTTACTTTCTAGAACGCACTAGAATCCCTTACTTGATAGAATTACCTACATGACGTTTAAATTTAAGAAATCAATAAAATTTCATGATAACTCAATAGTTAAGATTCTAATCATGTATCTATATATTATAGTCTATTTTATTACTCTTCCTATTACGTGTATAAAATGTAAGCACCTGGGCGACCGAGCTTTGCTCGGAGTTTTTGGCCAGAAAAACATTTAAGAAAAAACAAACTAAAAATTTGAATAAATACAAAAAAAAACAAAAGTAAAAACTTTGCATCCGACAGGGATACGAACCCAGACACCTGTGGTATACAAGTTTGCGCCTTGGCCGCTTGACGCTTATGTCCTAGCGAACGAATTAGAGACCATATTTTGCGTGAAATAATGCGAAACAAAACCGCATGAAAACTCGAAAACACGCATTTTCCCAGACATAAAACTAATCTAAATCGATTTATCGCCCCCGAAACCCTCTGTATACTAAATTTCATGAAAATCGCTGGAGCCGTTTCCGAGATTTAGGTTATATATGTACAAGAATTGCTCGTTTAAATTATTATATATTAGATATATGTAACATGTCCATCAAATGTTCATAAATGATTTACTCACAGATAAAAAATATTAAAAGCTGTTATAAAATGATTTCTTAGAATATAGCCCTGAAAACTATGTAATCGTGTTCAATCTGTTTGAATGTTAGATAGAAATTGTGACTTTTGGTCTCACTGAAGTGCGGGGAGTGCCTCTCAGGACTAAAGCATTTTATACTGCTGATAGTTCTTACAAATATTATGTATAAGGGTCTCAAACTATCTTGTTACCACATTTGCACCGGTTCAGTAGTTTCGGAGCCTATTCGGTACAAACGAACAAATCTTTCTTTTTTATAATATTAGTATAGATATTAATGATTTAAGTATTTGTAGAGAAATATGAGCATCACATTGGGAGTTGGGACGCTTTAATAAAAAACCTTAAAACAACATATTTTATATCTACATAGAAAATTCTTTATTGTGTCAAACAAATACTTGATATAATGACTGATTTAAAATCCTTCACTAGATTATAATAAAACTATAAAATAAAACTACAGCTCAAGCTAACATCAAGCAAACCACTCTCTAGTACACACTGAGACCTGACTTTATATATGTAGCAATATACTCTATGGACCTGACTTTGCTTGGATATTTTATAACAGACCTACCAACATACAAAACAAATAATTTCCAAAAAAATGACGTCATAACTCACAGTTTACATACACTCAAAAAAATTGAGTTAGGCCACTATTCTTTTGAAAGATTTATTTTTGAACGATTAGATATCAAAATTATTATTTTTTTGACTGATCTGAAGACACCTTTTTTAAAATCTTCTAAAAGTATTTATATCTCAGGCAAAGCCATACATTTTTACATTTTGACATATCCAACATTTTTGTTCTCATTTATATTTATTAAACAATTTTTACTTTAATTAGCTACTGCCAGAGACTTCCCACGTTATTTATATAATACAACCACCCAACACGAATTTGAAATTATAAAGCTGCCTCGAAATAAAGATTTCGTGTATTTCTTTTTCGGATTTTTTCGCGGGAGAATTTGTCCAGTGATTGCTGTAAAACATTTGTTACACCGGAAACCAAAAATCAAAGTAAATCCACGACAAGATCCGAAAAGATTAGAATATTCGCGTAAATCTAAGAAAGTACTTATTATTCTGAGACATCTCTTAATAGTGATGCATAAACTCGTCCCTTTTTTTTGTATACTTATATTATTTTGTATAAAAATCTATACATTAGATGATCGCCTTTGATTTCAACGGAAATACAAAGTTTGTCAAAAAATACTATATACTTTTAAGGCGAATGGTCAACCCTAAACCCGTTTCCCAACTGCCATATAAAATTAAACACGACAGTCGGGCGCACAGACTAAAAGCCACAATTAAAACGTGCACCAAAAACGAAGCCACTAATTTTATATTAGTTTTTTTAAACATTTTTAATGCATTTTTTTTAACATGTGTTAAATTAAATACTTCTGATTAACTTTTTGTACCTTTAAGGTAAAACATTATAGCCATTTTATTTTATAACTCGAGACCGAGTTTACTTTTATAAATATTGTTGATTTGTACCAAATATTTTATAATCACAAACTGTTGGTTAAAAGTTTTAGTGATTTGTTTCATAATTTAAGGTTTATGTCAACTTATACATATTAACTAAATATTTACATACAAACTGACAAAAAATGTACAACTCTTGCATTTATATAGTAACAAAAAATCTAAATAACGAACACAGCTTTAAAATATTTTAAGAATATTCGAGTAAATACTGGGGATGGAATCCATATACATATATGTAGACCATGGACTTCATATTTATTTATTTTTTAATTTAACTAATGTGTAAATTTTGTTGTGTAAAACTACTTACAATATATAGATTAAGGAGTTTAATTATTAAGCCAATATTGTAAAATATAAGAATTGAAGCCTCTTTAGACATTTGCAGCAATTATTATTTACTGACTCTTTTTAAAAAAACCAAACAGAACTTTTCCACTCTATGGATGGAATTTTCTTATGTAAATAGGACCACCCTGTAAGTCAATTGTTTAAAAAAAATATTTCCATATTAGTAACAATATTGCATAACATATACATATAAAAAAGATCACAGAAGCTGAAAATCTCGTCCTCATTTTAAAGTCCATTAAGTTCAGGAATTGCTATAAAGCAATAGTCAATGTTTTGAGGCGACGGAAGCAAAATATTGGCTTCAGAGCTTCCTTTGATTTAAAAAAGCTAACATTATCACAGTCAAAGTTACATGATACTCAGCACTGGGTTTAGAGGGGGCATTCTGGGATAGTGCCCAGGGCGGTCAATTTTCTGGGGCAGCAAAATTCCAAGGGTGAGAAAAAAAAATATTTTCCAAAAAATGATTAATTGAAAAAAAATACTTGTACGTTTTTCAAAAATTGAACAAAAATAATCAAATAAAAAAATTTAAACTTTATCCATTTTATGCAAAATTTCGATATTGGTGTGGTATTTTCTCAGTGTGTGCATATGTAATCGGCTCTAATTTGACTTATATCGTTATATGCATAAATGTTTAAGCAACAATAACTTGCCTACTAATAAGTACTATTTTAATTACAATTACCGAGTGCTAACATTAAAAAAATATTAGACAGTTGAAACGTAAAACAATATGTGAATATTTTCACTAAATCAAACCTAACTATTTACTAAGTGTTACAATATTATTAATTTGTTACATACACTATTATTCGTTTTTATGTTTAACATCTATTATGCAGAGATATTCCATCACATTGCAGCTCACCCACTTGTATTATTATTACTTATCGCCGATAATATAATATCCATAACAAAAAAAAACATTCATCTACACATATAATAAATTGTAACTCAAATCTGTACATTAAATATTTTTTGGAAATTCTTATTTTTAAATAGTCACATTATTATCGATACAGAGGCCGAATCTATAGTTTTTAGAATTTGTACCTGTCTGTCTGTCTGTGATCGCAACACAAGAAAAACACTGGACAGATTTTGATGAAATTTGGTATGGTGATAGCTGGTCATCCGAGTCAACATATAGAATACTTTTTACTGCAGGAAAATATTTCGTCTCTCAGAAATCTGTACTAAACGTTAAAAGGTAATGTGAGTTATGAATATCTAGTTATGAAAATCATGCATAAGTTGACAAATGGCATGTAACTTAAATTCAGTGACTAGACAAAAAACAATACATTTGCAAATTAAGTGACTTCTCCATTCTACATGACATTGGCAAAATAAGCTGTGCTCAACACGAAAATAATTTCATTTATTCAGCCAAGTTGTTGCCATTATTTTGTGTTAGTGATAATGTTAGCTTATTTTAATAATAAATAATATGATTGTCCAAAGAAAAGGCATTTGTTATCTCGGTGGTTCATGTTCATTAACAACACTATATACATTTAACTTATAAGGGGATAAAAAAATCAATGATTATAAAGTAGCTTAATAAGAAACTAAAACTATTGTTGACCTGATTGCATTACAAAAACTACCAAACATTTTTAAGTATGCCTTTTAAAGAAAGCTATAATGTTACTAGCACAACATATAATATTATAGCAGTCTGTGCCATATAGAAGAGATCAGCATAAATTGGTCATCTTGTTTGCTCTTTAGAGGTAGCCGTTAAAGCTTGACCTACAAGAACTCGCTGTCCGGAGTTAAAATCAAATTTAAAGTCGACGGGAGCTTCAAACAGCAGGATTATTGTGCTTCCCATATTAAATTGCCCAAATAATTCACCTTTCTTATAAGCCACAGTGGTTTGTAGCTCTTCAATTCTATTTCGTTTGCCTTTAGTGTTTGTTCGTAGATCAGGGTCGCTATATATTTCTATAGAGCCAACATTTGTTGCACCAACAGCTGTCATACTGAAAAAACCATGTTTCCATTCTCCAACATACACTGCTCTCTCATTCATGGTAAAAAGACCTGGTATCAATTTAGCCATCCACGGGTTTACAGATAAAAGCTTTCCAGAGAAATGTCGTCGAAAATTTGACGTCCAATCACATGGTGAATGAAATCTATGATAATCACCTGGCGCTAAATAAATAATACATTGGTGTAATATATTGTTTTTGTTATTTAATAAAGACTTATAATAATTCGAATCTGTTTTCATTGACCATTTGTTTTCACCTAGAAATTCTTCTAAACTATATGTTACTCCTTTCACTTGTTCTATTTTGTCAGTATCTGCAGGCCCACAGTTCAGGACGACACCATCACAAGGCGACACACAGGGTGCTGGAGATATATATCTAGCACCTTCCCGTAACGCACGCGTGAAAAATGCTGATAAACTCCTATAATATGTTAAATCTGTCACGGCCGCATCGTTTAAATTAACATTAAACAATTTAACGTACGTACCGTACACCAAGCTTCGGATCGACATAGGCAATTCGCAGGCCGCTAACCGGCCCCATATTCGACTAGTTATTCTAAATGGAAACATTTCGTAAAATTTGATTTCCACTTTCGATACTTCGTAATTTACACTCGCACGGATATAGCACCATCCCACATAAATAACACTTCCGAGAGGCACCCATCTTGTGAAAATAGCTCTTAAACTCATCCATTTATTTTTCTGTAGTTGATTATTCGTTGTTGAAACGTTCTTTGTTTGATTATGAAGTGTCGTTTGCCTGAAAGGCTTATGCGGCTTTATTCGCCTAAACATCGGGTTTATGACTGGAAGGCAACTCCGAATACGCGTCGGTGGGAACATCTTGCACTCGGGCCTTCCGTCGTGGTATAAAAATAAATAATGTTTATCTAATTAAATACGGCAAAAGATTTACGTAGTAAATTACCAACGTCCGATCGCGAAATATTAGAATTAGACATACCAAAAAATTATGTGCTTACGTTCAGAAATTGTAAATTTAAGTAAATTATTAATATATTGTTTTTATTTCTAAGGCATTTTGGGTAATTTATATGTTTATGAAAAAGTAATAAAATAATTTCATTTAAAATATATTATAATAAAAAGGTTTTATTTTTTGAAAATTTTAAATATGTTGTTATTAAACGCTATATATAAGAACTAGCGGCTCACCCTCGCTTCGCTCGGATTCACCTCTAGAAAAGCACAAACAGATCTATCCCACGGGAACCGTTCATTTTTCTGAAATGATGAATTTTCCAGATGAAAGTAATCTGTTGTTTGACCGGCAATATAAGATATCAGCATGCCAAATTTTACTAAATGAGGAGGATAAGTTGTTGCGTACTAAGCTGTATAAGTTACTATAGTTTTTTACTAACTATTGTTTGGGGGTCTATGTTGTGAACATAATACGTTACAAATAAACAAAACATCTATCCCACGGGAACAGTACATTTTTCCGTGATAAAAAGTAACCTATTTGTTATTCTGATGTATGAACTATATATATTATTGTAAAGTTTCATCAAAATCCAATCAGTAGTTTTTGTGTACTAAGCTGTATAAGTTACTATAGTTTTGTGACTATCCCACGGAAACTCTTTAATTTTCCGGGATGAAAAGTAGCTGATTTGTTTTTGTTATGTATGAACTATATTATTGTAAAGTTTCATTAAGATCCAATCAGTAGTGTTTGTGTACTAAGTTGTATAAGTTGTTATAGTTTTTTAACTATCCCACGGGAACTCTTTAATTTTCCGTGATGAAAAGTATCTAAGATGTTGCCCGGGAATATAAGGTACCACCATGCAAAATTTCATTTAAATCGGTCCAATAGATTCGGAGATTAGCCCGTACAAACAGGAAAACAGACAAACAGCTCGCTCGGGTTCGTCCATACATACGAATATGTTATATTATCTCTTTAACCATTTGTCCAAATTATATGCAGTAAACGGAAAAGTCTTTTGTGTTAAACATTTTAGACGATAAATTTATTTATTTTGATAAGAATTCATAATTCTTGATAATATGACATGACCTACCGATTTAAATTATTTTTTTAATATAAAAAACTACTTTTTGTGACTTAAATATAAAAATTAGACATATGCTGTCGCTGACTTTTTTGTAGGCATTATTAAGCTCTACAACTTTTCTCTAGAACATAATCATATATCTCTCATCGTTAAGGCAGCGTTCGTAAGAAACTTTTTCATTCGACCGTTTTTTCTCCGACTTCCTTTGCAAATCCGACTACCACGAAAAATCCTTTTCAGTTTTGGGGTTAATATATAGCCTATGACACTCAGAAAGAACGTGGCTTTCTATTGGTAAAAGAATTTTGAAAATCGGTTCAGTAGATCCAGATATTACCCCCTACAACGTCACAAACTCACAAGATCACAAACTTTACCTCTTTATAATATTAGTATAGATAAGGATTGAATAAGTGATTCTCAGTCGTATAACGATTAAATCGATTCTGAATGGTTATTACTTAATTATATATTAATTAATATATTACAATAAAAAATATAGAATTCAACTATGTTAAAAATAAATTATCAAGTTATTATATAAGATGTTTATTAATAATACGAATCATATCAATTAAAATGTAAATATATAACTAGTAACTACGTTTACATATCACCGCGCCCATCCCTATACATTGTTTTTTTTTTCGATTTACATTTGGCATTTAGTATGTCATGGGAAATTGTTGACGTTTTTCATCAATATTTTAATTTTTGTGTTTATTATTTAATTTCCCCCCTTTTTTATTTTATTCAATGTCTGTGAGTTACAATGAAGCCAGACGTACAAATAAACTGGTGGGAAGGAATGCAAAGCAAGCCCAGCGTATTGAAGAATTTAATGATGAAAAGAATAGTTCAGAGGACGATTTTCGCGGCTTCGAAAAGATGCCTTTGGTTCTATGTGAACGTTTTGATATATCACCATATTTAAGTACAACAAAATCAAATACAAGAAAAATAAAAGATCCCTTACCTTTAAATCAAAAGGAAATGAATTGTGCGCCAAACAAATCTAAGCAAATAGAACTTAATAAAATATTACATGAATGCTCAGTTATTTTGGTGCGAGAAGATTTAGAACAATTAAAAGAAATGGTTAAAAACAAATCCCCTATATTAAATGGCGACACAGGTTTAAAATGTAAGATTTGTGACAAAGAATATTCCAGTGACAAAAAATTGCAAAACCACATAGAGAACAAACATATTATTTATAAGTCACCAAATAAGACACCCAAGCGTGTTTCATTCTCAGATCACATAATCGTTCATGAAGTTAAAGAATACCACAGATGTAGAAAATGTCCAAAAATATTTGAAAACTATAACACATTAAAACTTCATATGAAGCAAAAACATAGAAAGCGCAAATGTTATATCTGTCATTATTGTTCAAAGGACTTTGTTGACCGAACCTTCTTTAAAGTACATATTAAACTACATTGCGATGCCTGTGGACTATTACTATTTAATAAGAAAAATTATTTAGAACACAGACGACAAGTTTGTAGAGTAATTAAAAAATATGAATGTAAAACTTGTCATATGTTGTTTTTTAACTTTATGGATCTTAAAGATCATAGCTATTACCATCTTGGAACGTTTTTCATCTGCGATATATGCAAGGATCAGTTTGAAACTAAATGTGCTGTTGCCCATCATATACAATTCTTACATTCTAATAAGCGGCCTGAATCACTGTATGTGAAGCAATCAATCGGTATTGAAAAAGTGTATGTTTGCAACTTTTGTGAGGAAAGTGCAATGGAGGAAAGCATGATAGAAGATCATGTATCATCCTTACCAGATTTACAAAATCGAGCCATGACTGGTTATAAGGATTATTATTTTTGTGATCAGTGCTTGAAAATGTTCAGCACCGAAACTGACATGTTACAGCATAAATGGACGCATTTTTTGAGAAATGATGACTCGGTAGAGCAAAAAGCAAATGAAAATTCCATCAAAACTACGTACAAAATAGGTGAAAAGTTACCAGATATTCTGCAGCCGAAACTCATTTTGAAAAAAGTAGAAGTGCCAAAAGTGCTTCAAGTGCCTCAAGTAGAAGCAAAACCAGTGAATCCTATTATCCAGACGTACAATCCCCAGGTTTGCAGTTCGAGCTTACCAGAAAAATTGAAAAGAGCAATTGTTGATCCTATTAGTAAAAAAACAATTATATCCAAATATCAATGTGAGGTAAGTGTTCAAGATTTTTTTTGTTTTTTTACTTATAATATGACTTAATCTTATCAAAATTGATGATGTTTTCATCATGTAAGTTTCTGTCTGTTAAAACATGTTTTTAAAGTTATACTTCTTTTGGCATGCTTGGAAAAAAGTATGAGAATAAAACTTTTACGATGCGCGCGCACACCGACAGCCAAAAAGCGACATGATGAAGTTAGCTGATAACTGTCTCTCTGGTTCCTGTGAAAACTCATAACTATATTCAAAATAGTTTCTCAAATATTCATAAATCTATAACACAAGTGTTATATCAGTAGAGATAAAAAAATATATTTATTTTTATTAATTAATCATTCCTTTTACAAACAGAGAGTTGTGACATTTCATTTTGTTTTTGCCTATTTATATATTCAAATTACATATTATCAGCACTTTGTCAGTATTTTCAATTTAGGTCACTTACTTAAAGACTTTACTTATTTACTATTAAAGCAAAGCAGAATTTACACATTTAGATGTAGGGTAACCAAATTTTTTTGTTATATACATGTAATAAAAGATGCACATTTACTTTTTTTAGAAATTAATTAAAAAAATAAAAAGATTTTATTATACATGTATATCAATAACATAAAAAATAAGCTAATATTGGTATGCATTCATTTTAATTTAAAGTTAATTTAAGAACCACTTTGCTTTTGGTTGGTGTCAGTATTGTATGTTTGGAAGTACATTCGGTTTTAACTAGATCATAATAAACAAACACATGTACAATTCACATTATTACATAAATAAGCTCATCTGAATTTTTTTATTATTAATCAATACATATATTAAAATTCTGAGTTTAATTTGAACATTAAATAAATTTTGGAAAATCTTATTAAAATAGTAAATATTGTCTATACAGAGGCCGAATCTATAGTTTTTAGAATTTTGTCTGTCTGTCTGTGACCGCATCACGAGAAAACCACTAGACAGATTTTGATGAAATTTGGTATCATGATGGATGGTTATCCGTGCCAACATATAGGATACTTTTTACTGCAGGGAAATATCCCATCTCTGAGAAATCTATACTAAACGTTATTTTATACTTATATATTTTTTTTTTAGAATTGTGGCAAATATTTATCATCGAACTACTGTCTCAATAGACACATGCGGGCTATGCATGGCATCCACCAAGAAGAGAACCACGAAGATGACAGCAGATTACAGTGCCCCATATGCGAAGAGATATTTGTATGGCCTTCTCTGTTAAAATCTCATAACTGCATTCGTATGTCCCTACCTGAAATGCCATTTGATGATGCCAGATCTGAAATTCAATTTGACAATATGAATGGACACTCGTTTGACAATTTAGACATAATTGACGATGATGATTATATGAACTCAGTGGATTTTGAAATACCAGCGCCTATAGTGGAGTTACGTGAGTATGACAACGTTAATATTGTTCTAAACAGTAGTAATAATCAAATAAATGTGATTAACAATCATAAAGTTAATCATTTAGGTTTAAAAGTTATGTTGCAAGAAGTACCGATAGAGTTTTAGATTTAACGGTTTCTGATTTTTTGTTATCTTTAAGACTAAATATTTTTTTGTTTTTTTTTTCTCTTAATGATGAAAGTGTCCTAGATACAGGTATTGTGGGTACAGATAAGAAATAGATATAATGAGGTAGTGATGTAATTGTATTGTCATTTTTTTATATTTTATGTATTGCAAATAATATTATTTTTTTATAATTGTTCTTTAAAAGAAATATAAAAGAATTATATTACAGTAACCTTCAGTAAAGTTGTGAATTTAAGTATAAACTATTGAAATGTTAACTCTTTTATGATATTTCTAAACCCCATATTTTTAATATTTTGAGAATAGTCCCATTATCATTTTCTGATATTATATGTCAATTTTTTTTTAAATATCTTTGTACTACGCAAAAATGTAATTATGTTACCTAAAGTATGATAAAAAGTAATATATATTATTTAAAATTATCAAATATGTATAGTACATAACAAGAAAAGTTATATAATTTTTCCAATAAAAGTAATAAGTAAAAAAAACATGAAGCCATAAGATTGATATCGGGCTACAAAAATATATTTCTATAGTTTAATATATTTTGGTTTATATTAGGAAAAATCACAGATCTATTTGGCCATTGCACTTTAACGCTTTTGTTCTCATTGAATTCAGCTATTCAATTTTATTGAAAAATTAATTAATATATACATAAAACTCGCTTAAATTTTCGCGAATATTTGACATTTTAAATAAAATTATCTTTTCGGATTTTTTCGCGGATTTGTTTTGAGTTTTGATTCCCGACGTTTTGAATGCTTTACAGCGCACATGGTCACGGGAGAAACTAAGGTTTTAGATGTCTCAAAGGCATTGTATAATTGTCACAGACTATGCCTACCCACAAAATTTTAAAATTTTATTTAAAATAATATATACATGTTATTCTTGTGTTACTTCTTATAGTTTTCCTTTACTTTTGTTGAATAAAGCTGTCGTTATTAAGTGTTTAAAATTGCCCATTTCATTATTATATTAAATAATACTACGGACCTTAATATGTAAGTTTCTCCATTTTTCTTGCAACTTTTCCAATTAGTTTATCTTTAAAAAATCCGCTTGGACTGTGCAAGCAGTTTGAAATCATCCAAATCGGTACAGCCGTTCTCAAGTTATGTGTTTTTATTACCGAACAGCATTTTAGTTCTATTCATACGAATAGGTAGATTTGTTTATATGCTTTCATTCTTTGCGAGTGTATATGTTTAATTAGCCGTGAATTCGATTCTTGTCTTATGTAAATATTTTTCCTCTATCTAGTAAATACCTATGATGTACATATATAGTTCGAAAATATTGTAGTATTCATATAGAATTTTTATTAAACATAAATTATTTTGATAATATCATGAGTATAAAAAAATATATTTCATGGATATTGTTTTTTTTTGGCTTTATAAATAGGGGATATTTCGTAATAGTTTTCATTTAAAATTAAAAAGAAACAGGTATTATGTATGTAATATCTATCTAATTTTAAATAAAGGAATAATTTTATCTTTTAGGTTCTTTTGTTACCGTTAAGTCATTTAATTTTAAAAGATTTTTTCTCAGATCATCATTTTTTTATGGTTATTAAAATGTACTTCTAACATCTTGTAAGAAATTGCTAAAAATAAACTACAGTAAGTACATATAACATTTAAGTAACAATGTAAAAAAATTATAATTGTAAAAGCTGTATCTAACAAAATGGAAAAATAATAGAATAGAAAATAGGCACAATTACATATAAGGTCACTTTTATACCAAAATTTCCAAAAAAGAGGTTTCTATTTGCCTATTTTTGTATGTTATGTCATATCTTGTTATATGTGCTGTTTAACTTCAAAAATAAATAAATCTAATATGCAAAATTTCTTGGTAAAAAAGAATACCTAATTTTGAAACAATATTCGAAATAGATCTGTTTTGAAGTATTTTTAGGGAAATTACTAATAACGAAACCTTTTAGCAGATATAACATTATTTTAGCAAAATTTCATATATACTAGTTGTTACACAATTATTTTAAAATGATACAACAGATATTTTTCAAACAAATATATTGAATATTGTAGAAGTGACACTATTAAAAATTCATAGTGAATAGGGAATATGCGTTATATAACTGGAAAAAATATCCAGCTCCAAAAAACTAAAATATAGTTAAAAAAAAATTAATTAATCATATACATCGGATACTTCAAACACCATTTTGGCGCGCTTAGCGTGATCTTATAGTCTATATGACAGTATTGAAATCAACAAATGAACAGGAACTGTTAGTACCCATCGCAAACACCAAACAACAGCACTCTGTTATAATAAACTCTGACGTTACATTCGGTCTGACCAATGGCATTGCGTTTCAGCTCGTTCTACCCCCCTATTTTTGCACATTTCAATAATTATTTTCTTATTTAAAAATATTAATATGCTTAATTCAGAAGCAATAAAGATTATTAAAAAAATATTTCACCTTTATTTAATTCACTTTATAGATAGATGTCACTTTATATTGGAAAAGAGAATAAGATTTCAGTTGTTAATCTGTGAATAGTAATATTATTTAAATAAGGCTCACTTTTTATTTAAAGTTATTATTTGCTCAAATCAAAGTAAATAAATAAAATAATGAGGGATTTATGTTAAAATAACTGAATTGTGTCATTTTTACATAATTTAGTTGATAATTAGGTTTTATCTGGTCCTTGAAAAATTAATACTATTAAAAATAGAAGTTACTATAGAAATAAAAAAAGGAATTGTAACTTTTTCTTAATGCAACTTAGTTATAAAAATATTGAAGTAAATATAAGTCATGCAACATTCTAAAATGTAAATAGAAAAGTGATATGTTAAGGTCATAATATTAATGAGGTATAAAAATACTAGGAAAATGAATGAGAGAAGAAAATTTATAAAATCTTATTTTTGGTTAAAAAATTGTATATTTAGATTTTTGTTGAAATTTAAAAAAAATATCCACTGTATAAATATATTATGGTCACTTTAAATGTCGCTCCAGGAATTCCAACTGGTGACTGTAGGCGTAGACAGATGCTCAAACGATTTCGTTCGGTGGTTTTTAAGTTATAGTTTTTTGCCTTAGTATGTATGTATGCATGTATGTCTGTATGTATATTCCATATAATGTATATTGCCATGTACATGACTTTTTGTGCACATAGCACAGTCATTTAATTTTACTGTTTTTACACTAAATATGTATATGAATATATACAATATTTACATATAATTACTAAATATACCATTTTTGTTATTGTAGTAGCTATAATATTTTTTTATTTACAAAATTTTTAAAATGTAAAATTTTATGGTTTAGACTAAGTATTTATAGTACATGGTTAATGCGCACATTTTATTGTATTGTTTGTATAGATATTCTACAAAGGTCCTTTTTAAATTTCTGTTTGCCTGAAATATAGTATAGATTGATGAGATATTGGAAAATGAATTTTTTTTTTTAAATAATTTGGTCTAGGAAAAAATATGATAAATGTGATGTTTTTTCAGTGGTTGGTTAACAAGTTTATTTGGCTACAAAACCTAGAAACACTACGACAAATTAAAAGACATCTTACAAAGAATTTTTTTTTTTTTATATTGGGTCGAGTTTGTTGTGATTTTTTGTCATAGATATAAGTTTAGGGCCTAATTGAAATTGTTTGAGCGGATTTAATGTAGAATGTCTATATTTTATACTAGATTAAGTTTATATTATTATACTGCATGTAAAATATTGAAAATGGTCCATTATAAGTTTAAGTTGATTTTAGAATGTTAATCCAAAATATACTGTGTATAGTATTTGACTTTTTATTTCTTTGCCTTAATGTCGTAAATAAATCATACTACTACTTGTGTGTTTTTGTGTTTATTCCCATTTACGCTGCGTTTGGGCGGATCCGCCCAGCGTTTTGGGCGGATTTGGATAAAAATAGTACACAGTAAAATTCTAACCTTTTTTTTATAATGTATACTTTGGTCGCAAAATATACTCTCAATAAAGAAATTTCCGTACTTGTTAGTTATAATTTTTTCCCAAAAGATGGCGCTGTCTTTATATAATATAAATAGAATAAGCACCTATGGACGCATATTCAGACGAAGCAAGGGTAAGTCGCTAGTAAATATTATTTGTATTTCGAATTAAAGACGAATTAAACAATAACATAAAAATGAGAATTCTAATCGCTTGGGGTTTAAGTCAGTGTCAGAAAATAGACTCCCGATTTTGATTTAAATATCTAGTCACAATGAATAGCCACCGTCACCTACGTGATTAAAAATCAAAGGATTATGTTTGATAAATAATTCTTTATGAAATAATAAGTTTATAATCAAAGTGGTTTTATATTACATTTCCATAATCACAAATATTTAAGTTTCTAAACGTTTAAGGGCGTCGCCAGTTCTGACAGTACACAAGTTAGAAATTCGTCCTTCCTATCTTAAATAATCGATTCTTTTGTTGAAGTGATTGTAATCGGTTTTGGCCGATGACAATAATTAGAATTAGATTTAATAAAATAAATACTTCTTGATATTTAATATTCGTATATAAAAATATACCTTTTTTATTTTTGCATTTGGTAACGCATTTTTTTATTGGAATAAATAACGATAATCTTTTTCGAGCTATCGATTATCTTAGTCTAAATCGAAGAATCTGACTACATCACTATGTTATAATCAATGTTTTGCTGACTGCTGTCATTATTCATACATTTTATCTTTTGTAATTATTGAATTATATCTTGATTTCCAAATTAAAAACCATTATTAATTAAAATGATAAAAATTAATCAACTTTAAGTTAAATATATCTTTGAAGTTTCTTTTGCGTTTTACTAATAATTTGGTTCACTTAATAATATTATATTTCTTTAATATTTAATAATAATTTAAAACGATGTCTGTAAGTGAAAAAGTGTCGCTTTCCGATGCTTTAAGCAATGTGGATGTTCTGGACGAATTAACATTACCCGGTAAGTGGTTATTGCAAAAACGATTATTGTGCAAGTACAAAGAATGCGTATAGTTCGTCATATTTTTTTACTATATATTTAATTACTTATAGTTCATATTTCGTTAGTAATTAGTCATATTTAGTTATCATTCATCGTTTATCCTTTTGCTTATGTAAAAATATATTTATGCTTCCATACCCGTAGTGATAATACTGAACACTTATTTTTATATATGAATAAATTGTTCAGATTAAAAGATTTAAAAATAATAGTTACATGTATTTGAAGATTTTTAAAATACATATATACAACAATGTTTTCTAATACATCTTACGAATATTAAAAATCTGAAAGTTTAAATGGATGTTTAGATGTTTGTTACTCTTTCACGTCAGAAGGGTTAAATGGATTTGGATTAAATTTTGCACAGATATAGATTATAGAACTCAAGCGAAGCGAGGGTGGGTCACTAGTCCATACATATAATCTATTATAAATTTACTTCACCATACTAATGAAATGTAAAGGTTTTTCACTATAGGGTTATTATGGTTTTTGATTCCAAATAAAACTACCATCTTTAAATAGTATAAATGTTAAACAAAAATATTAAATATGTTTGTGCTTAACCTATTAAGATTATAGATAAGAATACTGTTAAATTAAAAAATATAGTAGTGTTCTAATGAAATTAGTCGAATTGTTCTTACATGAAATACATACAAGTAAACAAACAGACAACAATAATAAAACATATAGTGAAATAATGATATTATTTCTATAAATTAGATGAACAACCATGTATTGAAGCCGCACCTTGCTCGATACTGTACCAGGCTAACTTCGACACAAACTTCGAAGATAGAAATGGCTTTGTCACAGGGATTGCCAAGTACATTGAAGAAGCTACTGTACATGCCAACTTGGTGAGTTTGAATTATATTTATAAGAAGAGTTTGGTTTATATTTATAAGAAGGGACTAGATTATGCAGCGTACATTTATACTTACATATTATCAATTAATTAACACATCCCTGTTGAAAAACTCCAATAGAATCCCATCAAAAGTGACAAAAGCCACATAGCGACCAATAAATGTTTATTGTATGTTGTTGTTGTTTAGTGGATAGTTGTCCACTGCTGAATGTATGGGACTCATCAAAATTAATGAATCATGCCTAAACTCTTATGGTTTTACTAAAGGCAAAAGAAAAGTTCCATTATTTACCTCTTTTTTTTTTGGTTTATAATGTTGGGAAAAATGCCATTTATATGTAAATCATAAATACATAGAATCATATAGACGCACAGGTGGTTATGTGGGACTCACCGGCTAGAAAAGCCAGTACTACTGAATAAAACCGAATAGAACCTGTCCCGTCTTAATAGGGTGTTGCAGGGTCTAGAACTAAGACACCATCGGGGTATCTTAGTTCTAGATCCTGCCATCGGGCAGGTCTGCCAAAACAGATTACACAACAACAGGGTTCCATTGTTATCTGTATTTCCTTGTTATATAAATTGTCAAATCAATATAATAATAATTAAAAATGAGATCAACTCTCCAGATTTTTTGTATAATTTAGGTGAAGTTAGTAAAGGTTTGTAAAATATATAACAAAAAACACACATATCATTTTCTTTAAATTTTTGGGTTTCTTTATTATTATATCAATTGTTTTTTAGAATGAACTTCTAGAAGAAGGCAATGCACATGCAGTGATGTTGTACACATGGAGGTGTTGTAGCCGAGCCATACCACAGCCCAGGTCTAACGAGCAGCCTGATCGAGTACATATATATGAGAGGACTGTACAGGTGTTAGCTCCGGAGGTGGATAAGCTACTGCAGTTTATGTATTTTCAGGTAAGACCGTAAATTATGTGGCTTATTGTTATTTGACAGCTAGATTTATTTTATGTACACCCCAAATATGTCCAACTTTAAATTATTTTATTTTGATTTTTTTTTCAATTATGACAACAAATAAAATTGTTTTTGAATTATAATGGACTGAGTTTTGTTTTTTTTATTAATTTACATTCACTAAAACACAGTAGAATATTGTCACTTGCTTTCTTTTCTGTATTTTTTTTAAATCTACATAAGTATTATATTTTTTCATTTTTAATATAATATGTATTTATATCTTTTTTACATTTTCAGCGTAAAGCAATAGAGCGTTTCTGCGGAGAAGTGCGGCGACTTTGCCATGCTGAAAAAAGAAGAGATTTTGTATCGGAAGCCTATTTGTTGACTTTAGGCAAATTTGTCAACATGTTTGCCGTTTTAGATGAATTGAAAAATATGAAGAGCTCTGTCAAAAATGATTATTCGACGTACAGACGGTGAGGTTTTTTATTATATTTTTTCTGTTCTCTATTATGTACCTTGGATATTGATATTAGGGAATTAGTACAGAATACATTAATCAAAAAAGCACTAGATACACAATCCCATACAAAAGTTCTCTTAAAAGTTAAAACTGTCACCGATTATGTTTAAGTAATTGTTCTACTTGAAATAAATATACAACAATTTAAATTGAACTTTAAATGCAATGCTTAAAGTTGTTTTCACAAAAAAAATTGAGGACATTTTGACATTTTGTCGCTAATTGTGTATCTAATACTTTTTGATCAATGATAAGATATAATATAATATAAATAACTCGCAAAAAATATGTATACAAATATAGTGTTATTGTTTACGAGAAAAAGTTTTTAAATCTTTATACATACATGTCCTTTATACATACCCTACTTAAGCTTAGTTAATAATTTTAAAAAAAAGTAGTCACGAGGACTGCCGACAGAAGTGAACAGTTGTTATTTTTGGATATTCAAATTAATTGTTTGATCTTAAATTAAAATTTGTAAATTAAAACTGTTCACATTTATCTGGTTTTGACATCTATCGGCACCTGAGTGTTAGCGTTGACATGTCACGTGACCATGTCGATGACGACTCACATGAATTTACCTCCCATCCAAACAAACATACCGCTATTAATTTCTAAAAGTGGAAAAAACTAGTAGCTAAATAATAATTCTAAACTACGAGTAAACAAACCCATTTATTTCTTAATTCAATTCTATTTCCAATGGCTTCAAAGCGTTCCAGTTGAGCACAGATTACTTCGACAATATCACGTAGAATGAAAAATATATGAAGAAGATTGGTCGGTGAAATAAGATTATAACAACGTTTATTTCTTTCAGCGCTGCCCAATTCTTAAAAGTCATGTCCGACAGTCAAAGTCTGCAGGAATCGCAGAATTTGTCTATGTTTTTGGCTACCCAGAACAAAATACGGGATACTGTTAAGGATGCGTTAGAGAAGATTAACGGTAAGGCCGTGGGATTCGAATGTAGGGGTAAATGTCCACCATAAGAGATAGAACAAAAATATTTACAGTATTTTTTTTATTTTTTATTTTAGGCTATGAAGACCTTCTAGCAGACGTTGTTAATATATGTGTTCATATGTTCGAAACGAAAATGTATCTCACGCCCTCAGAGAAGCATATGCTGGTGAAGGTAATGCATAGTTTTTTAGTCTGTGACAAATCGGGAGAAACTCCCGATCCCGATCTTATCCATACATATAATAAAATTGTAACTAAGCCGAATCTGTACATTAAATATTTTTTGGAAAAATTTATTGAAATAGGCATTATTATAGATACAGAGGCTGAATCTATAGTTTTTAGAATATTTATCTGTCTGTCTGTTTGTCTGGGAACTCATCACATGAAACTACTGTACAGGGTATGATGATAGCTGGTTATTCGGGTTAACATATAGGATACTTTTTACTGCAGGAAAATATCTCATCTCTGAGAAATCTGTGCTAAACGTTAAAAAGCAACTAGGGGCGAACCTGTTTCTTATTAAAATAATTTTATTTTCAGGTAATGGGGTTTGGTCTCTTCCTAATGGACTCCGAGGTGTGCAATATTAACCGACTTGATCAAAAAAAGAAAATACGTTTGGACCGTATTGATCGAATTTTTAAGGTACTTTTTTTAATTATGTTTTTATAATATTTCAAAAAAATTGTTTTTATAAGCTATCTACCCCCAAGATAAGAATAAAAATTTTTTTTCCGCTTTACTGTATCTACCAACAAACATTATACAATAATTTGGAAAGAAAACTAAAATGGCACTAAAGCATCCTTTAATTAAAAAAAAAATGCAGTTTTATTTAAAATTGTATTGAGCCCTTTTTAACGTCTTACTGCTGGGGGTGGGCCTCCATTCAGTACGAGCGGGATCAGGCCATAGTACACCACGCTGGCCAAGTGCGGGTTGGCGGAATTCACATGTCTTGATATGACATGATGAGACATGCAGGTTTCCTCACAATGTTTTCCTTCACCGTAAGACCAGTGGTCATCATGTTAGAAATGATTCAGCCAGAGGTGCGAGACCCTGAAATTGAACCCGCTTCACTCGGTTTCCCAAGCGAGCGGCACACTGGGCTGCTATTGCCTTATTTAAAATATCAAATATTAATTATGTACGTACATGAAATTTATTTTTTTTTATTTTTCAGAACTTGGAGGTGGTACCACTATTCGGCGATATGCAAATAGCGCCATTCAATTATATAAAAAGATCAAAGCACTACGATCCGAGCAAGTAAGTGGGTTGAAAACAGCTAGTTGTTATCTGTGGCTTTGTCTGTGTTTATGACTATTGTAATACTATTGTATGTGTGTTTGTTTGTGTTTATGTTTGTTACACAGTACACAGATAGATAATGAGCTGGAGTAACATATAAGCAACTGTTAAGTACCTAGGGATCGTATCCAAACGAAGCAAGGGTAAATCGTTAGCTTACCTTATGATTTACCGGCGTAAAAAATATCTTATGTTCTGGAGATTTTTTTATATAATAAGTTTTGGTTCAAACTTAAAAGTCCATTTTAACCTACTTAATAATAATAATTTGGCACCATCTCACTGATCTGATGCTGGAGCCAGAAGCTGATGATGATGATGGTGGAACTCTTCAACGGCTAGTGGTTACACCGTAGAGTGCGGGCTCATACATTATAGTTGTATAAAAACATGTTTTATTTAGTTTTTTAAACTAAAATTGTAATTATATCTTCCTGCTAAATCAATATTTATTAAATATTTCAAGTTTTCCATTTTTCTTTTCTTGTATAATTATTTTAATATAATGAGCAACGAAACAAACGGATACACATTTTTTTTTTTAAATATGCAATTAGGATGGGGATGATAGGTAGCCTATGTACATCCTCAGGATGCAATCTATAAACTTGCTAAATTTCATCGAAATCTGTTGAGCATTTTAAGCGTGAAAAGATGAGAGAAAATTATTATACGCGCTATATCCCGCGAGCTAGAGAGATAGTGTGTATTAATTTCGTCGATCATCGAAAAGTACTGCATACACAATCTGATGCAAAAGTTCTCTTAAAACTGTCACCGATTGTGTTTAGGTAATTGTTCTAGTTGAAATAAATATACGACCATGTAAATTGAACCTTAAGTGCAGTGTTTAAACTTCTTTTCACGTTTTTTTTTTAAATTAAAAACAGCACTCAAATGCTCGAATGAGCGCTCTTTCGGTGAGGACATTTTTTTCGCTGATTGTGTATCTAGTACTTTTTGATCGATCGATCTAATTGTCTTGTTCTCTTCTTTATTCTTCTTCTTCGTTCTAGATGGCCACTCTCATCGTCTCCGAACCCTCCATCCCCCCAAGCCGACCTGATGGTCCATCTCCCCCAAATAAGAGAGGAGCATCAAAATTATATATCTGAACTAGCGAGATATAGTAACGAGGTGAGTTTGTCGTTTTAAATGTGTTTTTATTTCAAATATATCAAAAAACAGTTTTTAAATGCAATACTGTGGGTATTTTATAAGATATGTGTATTTAAAAAAAAACATTAATATGGTATTCCGGGCTCCATTTGATTTTTGAGAAAAAAAAACTTTGGTATGAAAATGGAATAATAGATGTTAAGTTTTTTTATATGATTTTTGAAGCCTCCGGGTTCGAGTCTCGAGTTGAGCCGAGTTTAGTTATTGAGTCCCATCGGAGTGTGAGAGTGATAGGAATAGTTGTGTGTCTTTCTATCTCACACGCGCTGAACTATGATATCTCCAGCAGTGGGCTAGTCTCAGTGAGATTGGCCGCCGTGGCCAAAAATTAACAAAAAACTATATTCTACACTGTATATGTATTTATTAACATCTATACTCTGTAATATATATTTAATAATTATTGTAATTTTTTATTCTTTGCAAAGAAACATCACTAGCAAATATTAAATTCAACCAAAATTATCTTAAAAAAATCCTAGGCCCCACCACCCGAATAATTTTTAAACCGGTTTCTGTCATTAACCTCGAATCGAAAGATTTTTCGGTTGAAGTTTTTGGTTATGTTCTTTAACCGGTTAAAACCTGGAAGCGACTTTTGAGGAATTTAGGTTCCATGATCGAAAATTAATCAGTTGAAATCAGTTTTGGTGCTTGTTTATGTTTGACGAATCTTTGCTAAAGGTATTAAGGACGAGTATTGCTTAGTAGCAACATATGTACTGTGTACATGTAAAGACGTCTCAGGAATTAACCGTTTTATTTCGGTATCAAACCTAAATTTAATCTTTCTCTAAGAATAATCGTTAACCATAACCAACCTGATATTATATGTTATGGGCTTCTGTTTACATATTTAAAATCTTTTTGTAAATATTGCCTAAAATAAATGATTAAATAAATAAAATAAACAAAACCTCCCCCAGGTGACGACGACGTTCAAGGAGGCGGGCTCGGACTCCGAGAACCGCGCGGTGACGGAGCTGTGCCTGCGCGGCCTGCAGCTGCTGTCCTCCTGGTGCTCCGTGCTCACCGAGCTGTGCTCCTGGAAGCTGCTGCACCCCACCGACCACGCCACCAACCCCAGGTGTCCGGCTGATGCTGAGGAGTACGAGAGGGTGAGTGGGGAATTTTTCGTTTTTTTTTTCATGCATCACGCTACCAAACTGAGGAAGATATGCTCTTTTATATATTTTTATTTTTAAAATAAAACTATCTTTTCCGATTTTTTGGCGGATTTATTTTGATTTTTGGGTCGTGACGTTTTTTTTTAATTTTAAGTTGTTTTATTATAAAAATGTCAAATATTCGCGTATCGTTATGATGTCATAAAGCACTGTGGTGCGTTTGTCTTCAATCTACGAAATATTATGTTTTGGAGATTACACCATATTTTTACGCTTTTTTTATGTTTTGGGCGTTTTAATTTGTAAGGGACAATGAGGTCTAGGGTTTTTGGTTTGCTTATTTGCTTGTACCGAATAAGCTTCGAAACTACTGGACTGATGTAGATCAAATTTGGTAAGAAGATAGTTTGAGACCCTGGAAAAGACATAGGATAGTTTTTATCCCGGAAATCACACCTTAAGGGGGTGAAAATGGGGATGAAATTTTTTATGACGAATCAACAATAACCGTTACAGTTATACGCAAAAAAAATTAAAATAAATGTCCACCACCAGGCAACACGCTACAACTATACATCAGAAGAAAAGTTCGCCACGATAGAAGTGATAGCCATGATCAAGGGCCTCCAGGTGCTCATGGCTCGGATGGAGACGGTCTTCGCTGATGCTGCGAGGAGGTCCATATACGCTGAGCTCCAGGACTTCGTGCAGCTTCTGCTGAGGGAGCCATTGAGGAAGGCCATTAAGAATAAGAAGGATTTGATTCGTAGGTACGTTAGTGGGTGGTGTGGTGAGATGTTTAAGTAGTATTTCAAATGTGTGTGTGTGTTTGTTTGCATGCGTGTAAGCGTGCGTGTACGCGTGCGTGCGTGCGTGTGCGTGTGTATGAGTAGTGTGAGTAGTAGATTATTATAATAAATACGAATGTTTGTTTGTTTGTCACTCCTCCACGTTGAAACGGCTGGACTGATTTTCATGAAATTTATTGAACGGATAGAATATGAGCTGGAGTAACATATAGGCTAACAGGTAGGCTATCATAATCTTTGTTTTTCGATATGAAACTTTTTTAGAATCGTTGTGATTTGAAACTCGATAAAACGGAAATGCGACACTAGAAAGAGACAAACACAAATATATTGAATTAAGCCGGCGAAAGAATGAGATAGAATACATTGCCATGTTACCATGGTAATCGTTGTTATTGTCTGACAAATATATAATATTATATATCTTTCCGTATATGATATTCTATAAATATATGATTGTAATATGCCTTATTTTTCTTTTAGTATAATAGTGTCAGTGAGGGAGACGTGTGGGGATTGGGCTCGTGGTTGTGAACCTCAGCAGGACCCGGCTTTGCGTGGGAAAAAAGATGCCGAAGCTAGTTTTACTATCAAGGTGCCACGTCGTAATGTAGGTGAGTGTGGGTTCAGTGCTCGACACGAGCTTTAAATAGCTGTATGATTTTTAATGTCTCATTGCTGGGCGTGGTCTTAATGCGAGGGTGATCAGGCCACACTTTAAAAAGTCCAACGCTGGCCAAGTGTGAGTTGATAGACTTCACATGTATTCAGAACTAGTTAGGTTCTTTCGAACAGGTTTCCTCAGAATGTTTTCCATCGCACATGAAAATATGCAAAATCGGGATTCGAACCCGCTACACTTTCACGTAAACATGTTGTAACTGGTATAAGTCACATATACACTACTAGTGTTTTCCGTGGCTCACTTAATATTAGGAAAATTACATAATAAAAAATCTTATGCAACCAATCATGCAATAGTGCTACTTAATCGAAATAAATTAAAGCAACAAACATACATCCATACATTCATAATATTATATTAAGGTAAGATTACATGTTATAATTAAAATTTTTAACTTCACCCAATTTCAAACCCAGGACCGTCATCCACACAGCTCTACATGGTACGAACTCAGTTAGAAGCGCTCATCTCAGATAAATCTGGTGGGAGGAGGACTCTTCGGAAGGATTTGGATGCTGCGACACTGCAACAGATTGAGACTTTCCATAGGCAAAGTTTTTATTGGGGTTATATGTTGAATTTGGCCGGTAAGTGCTTTATTAAATAGTTAAAAAAAAAATAATTAAAAAAAATTACACTTTATACATAGTATCTATGTATATAAGTAATTTATAATAATGTAAATAAAGGAGGCAGAGTTTGTTTGTTTGAGCGCGCTAATCTCAGGAATTATTAATTCCCATTTGATAAATTCTTTTTGCATTAGATAGCCCGTTTATTGAAGAAGGCTATAGGCTAGATATCATCATACTACTACACAAGGGAGCGTAGCAGTAATCATAAATGTCAACAAATCAGTCAAACTTTCATATATTATTGTCAAACTGATGTTTCTAATATTATGTTTAAGCGCTTTAATTTCAAAAACTACTGCGCCCATTTCAAAAATGTTTTTTTTTGTACTTTTAGCGCGAGCGAAATCGCGAGTTCTGCTAGTAAATGATAATTCTAAAATATGTATAATTTTAAAAAAGAAATAAAAATATGTACTTTTAACCGACTGTAACGTCTGACGACGAGCCCGCACTGTATGGTGTAACCAGTAGCCATTGAAGAGTTCCACTATCAGCCCCTGCGACCAGCGTCACTATATTATTTATTTCCAAACCTAATAAAAAACTGGCAGAAAATATCAAACAATATTCTACCCCTAAAAGTGGAATAATTTGGAAGAAACAGGAAAAATAAACTATTGTTTAATAATACCAAAAAAATATATATATATATAAAAAACATAAAAAACAGTCAGTAAAATATAATAAAAAATATAGAAATTTTACCTGAAAATAAAATTTGTATTATGTTTCCTAAGACATCCGAAGTCCAATTATGAGAGTACATCAACCTTTTCCGTCGCTTTCCGCTAGATTACTTCCTCTTCCGTTACAATTTGTGCTTTTAGCGCCAGCCGTGGCCAAAACTGAAACTAACTTTTGCAACCTGTGTAAGGCAAGCCGCCATTTCTAAAATCATTGTTCGGTTCATAATGAAAATGATGCTGATAAACACCAGGAAGGCATTATTTGGACTTCGGATGTCTTAGGAAACATAATACAAATTTTATTTTCAGGTAAAATTTCTATATTATGTGTTCCGTTCGACATCCGAAGTCCAATTATGAGAGATCTGTTTGTTATCTCCTGGTGGCTTGCTAAATAGAACGCAACAATGTGATTATAAAAAAAACATACAATTGGCATTATTTAAAATTTTATTAATAAAATTAACCAATCAAGTATTCAAGATTATGCATTTTGAATAATTCAGAGCATTCTATATAATTATAAGTTAATCTACATATTTAAACAAATATTTAAACTTAGGACTGAAATTACTAAAAATATGATTAATTTGACACTGCAAACAATCTAGATAGTGACTTTTCTGAATCAACATTACTATTATGATCTTTACTTTTAATCTCTCTATAATAATATTTTCGAAAGGTATTTTCATGGCGCCAATTTGCCTTAGCTAAAATCTCGTTAACTGGGTACTTCTCTAAACAATTAAGAGATGACACAGCTGACCTAACACTACCTGGCGTAGCCTCTATCCCAGCTTCAGAAAGGATACGTCTTATCCAACCCCCAATGATTACAGGACTAGCTGGTTTACTAGGAACTCTTGTGTTTAAGAATAAATTGGTCAAATTACTTCGAACATTTTCCGAAATGCGTATCAATGATCTTAACCAAAACAAGGGGTCAGTATTTCTATCAGGCGAAGCCAGTAACTTCCAACTTGATTGTTTATAAGTTGCCGTATCAGTTTTCGAGCCAAATATAGGATGCAAGATAATTGAATCCCCACTGTCAACAAAATGTTCTGGATCACAATGCAGGAGAGTTAAGTCGTGTATTCTACGACCCGAAGCCAATAACAATATAATCGCTGTTCGCCTAGAAACATCATACAAACTATCTAAGTTAGGATTTGTATTTTTCAAAAAAATTATTACTATTCTTGCATCCCATATTTGCAATTTCGGTGGAGCCGGTCTAGCTAATGACACGGCCTTTAAAATATGTTTAACTAAATGATTTGATGTAATCTTTATATCCGATAAAGTTTCACAGACTGAAGCTATAACTGACTTATGTACCAGAATGGTACGGTATGATAAACTATCTTTAAGAAAAAGTTTAGCTAAGTACCTGGCTACACTGGCAGGTGCAGGACGACGATAGTCCACTTTATTTTGCTTACACCATAGAAACCACTTGTTCCATATTGGTGTATAAGTTTTAAGTGTGGATGCTCTCCAACATCTTAACAAAAGTTGCTTTTCCTCAGCGGACCAGTCCTGTGTTAGAGAGTCCCAGCCGAAATGAGCCAAGCTTCCAACTGTAGGTTGTGAACTTGAGCTGGAGGACGCCCCGTCACTGTGTCCACTAATGTTGTTCTCAGATTCCTGATTTTCATTGGACGAGCTAGGGCGCGGCTCTTCAAGTCCGGCCTCCAAAAGGGTTTCTTCCACTTGGGTGCAACAATTATGAACCTTCCCTTTGCGGAGTTGAGATGCCGTAACACCCGCGGAAGTACAGCTGGTGGAGGAAATATCCAGGCGAGGTCGTAGCTCCAGCATCTGCTGAAAGCGTCGTGAAAGCAGGCGCTCGAGTCTAACAAGTCTAGAGTAGCATAATCTGACACTACGTGAGCCTTTCGCGAGGCGAACAGATCGATATCTGGAGTTCCCCACCGGCCGAATATCTTGTTGGTTGCCTCGTCTAGCAGGTGCCACTCGGTACCGATTCGATTCCGAGAGATCTGATCGGCTTCCGTGTTGTACAGTCCCGGAAGGTGGTGAGGGATTAGTACAACATTCAGGCTGTCCGTTAGTGCTAGGAGCTGATTTGTCAATGTCAAGAGATTCCTCGACTTGGTTCCTCCTTGATTTTTTATATACGACACAACTGTCTTGTTGTCGCTCTGTAACATTATTGTTGAATTTCTTAGAGCCTTTGCCTCCAGAGATATGGCTGCTATCACAGCATACATTTCTTTCAAGTTGCAGTGCCACTTCAGCTGATGTTGACTCCAGCAACCTTTTATTACTTTGTTGTTTACTAGTGCCCCCCATTGAATGTCCGAGGCGTCGGTGACGAGGTAATTGACAGGTAAGTTCCTTGGGTGAATATGAGACTTCTGGTCGATATTTTCCAACCACCACTTTAATTCCCCGCGCACTTCGTCTGCGAACGGGATCGGCCGGCGAGAATTTTTCTGTAAACAATTGCTGTGGCGCTGAAGCACTCGGCAATGCAACCTTCCCCGAGGGGTGATGAAGGTCGCAAAATTGAGATACCCTAAGAGGCGTTGCGCCTGCTTGAGGGTCCAACTGCCTGCTGTCAAGCGAGCCCATAAGCACTGACGAATCTTGGCTACCTTTTCTGGGGGCAAACTCTTGGAGTTGTATTGCGTATCCCAGATAATCCCTAGGAATTCTAAACGCCTCGTTGGCCTCAGAATAGATTTTTCCACGTTGATATTCCAACCTAGGGAGGTGAGAAACTTTAAGGCAATATGAACATGTAATCTTAATGTTGCTTTGCTTTGGTGGACTATTAAAAAATCGTCTAGGTAGACAATTAGGCGAAGACCCTTGCTGCGTAATATCTCGGCAGTCCAATTTGTAACTGATGCAAACATTCTCGGAGCTGCAGCAAGGCCGAATGGAAGACATGTCATCTGCAGCAGCCGACCTTCGTAACTTAGGCGTAGAAAACAACGATGTCTTTGAGAAATTCGTAAATGGTAATAGGCCTGTTTTATATCCAGCTTCACCATCCAGTCGCCTGCTTGTAGAAATGTTGGCATTTTGTGATGATGAAACAGATGGAAATGCCTTGGTTGTATAAATTGATTTAATGCCTTGAGGTTGAAGATAACCCGATTCTTTCCATTGCTCTTTGTTATAATGAAAAGCGGGGATATGAATGACGGACTTAAAGGGGCTGCTTCGAGAATCCGATCTTGAATCATGGTTTCTATCTCTGAAGACATTATCAAGGAACTCTGTGTTTGAAATCTTTCCATGACATCCGGCGATGGAAAGATTAGAGGAGGCGTCTGATTGAATGGAATACGGGCGGCAGAAATTAATTTGAGAATAGTTTTGGGTGGCCGAAACTTGGCCCACACCTCTTGATAAAACATCAGACAGCCGCCCACAAACCTCGAGTCATTTGCGCCTACTCCTGTTAGTTTCATCCTTTTGGCCCCCCCTTCCCCTTTTAACTTGCTCGTCAAAATTTTGTCTCTTATTTTTCCTTTGCTTTGGTTTGACTTGTTGAAAACGAAAGGAGGGTTTTTCCCGAGATGTAGAAGCAATCGGTGATTTAGAAGTCACTGGTAACTTAGAATGTCTCACAGGTTTCAGTTGAGGTCCTATATCTTTATCTAATTTGTCTAATCCGCCTATTTTTTGTATATAAGCCGATAAACTTTGAGGATTAAACATATATTCTATCGAAGGAGGTATTTTATCGATATCATCCCGTATATACTTTCCCTTTAAACCTTTAAGCAAAGCTTTACGCCGTAGTTCTAATACCTCTGCACGTTTTCCACAAATTAATTGTAAAATGTCGTGAGATACAGCCTTATAATTAGATTCGTTTCCAAATAACTCTTTTAATTTATCATAAATTAAATTTGAAGTTAATTGCGCATCAGGTTTCGCGGCCCAGTCTATTAAATGTTTTAATGCAATATTAACACATTCATTTTGAGCTAAAAAGGCATTAGACAAGGCAGCAAAACTGCGTTCCATCTGATACCATCTGAGCGGAGCAAAAGGATCTTCTAAACGCCTCAATTCCTCATTTACTTTTAGCTCAGAAAATGCCGGGAATGCTACGTATTTCTTTTGCACCTCGGTGTACCGAACAGAATTCCAATCCAGAGAATCAAATCTTTGCATTGACGCTATTTTTGCAACCCGATCAGGATTTGCCTTTGGCATAGTTGGTTCCTTGACAGACACATTTAGCTCGGCAATATCTTTTAATTCACCTACTGGCCTTAAAAACGGGTCATCGAGCGAATTTTTTACTGCTGTCGAAGCAGCCGCCATAGGAAACGAGGAGTTCGTGGATATCGGATGCATCGTAGCGTAATTGACACAAAATAAATTATTTATATGACTCACCAACTGCTGCGATAACTGATCAAACCTGCGATCGATTTCTTGACATGAATCGGAAGACCGACTATGACGTCGTCGCTTTGGCGGCGGTTCATCTTCCTCGCTCGAACTTGAATTCGAATCCGATGATTCACTTGAAGGCGTGTGAGTATTTTTCTCCAACCGATTCGAATCACAATCACCAAAAACGTCCACATTATTATTAATCACTGGCTCGGTATTTTTCTCACTGTTGTCCATTTTACGATTTAAAACACAATACTTTAACGTAACGGAATAAAACTGTAACTTTCTACTTTAATCTCGAAAGTTTAAACAATATTTCTACTTTTGAAAACTCTAATATAACACAACGGTCGTTTTTCTTAAACAAGTTTTCTAATAAATCTAGCGATGCGTGCAACTCAAAAAATGACGCAACAATGATTTTAGAAATGGCGGCTTGCCTTACACAGGTTGCAAAAGTTAGTTTCAGTTTTGGCCACGGCTGGCGCTAAAAGCACAAATTGTAACGGAAGAGGAAGTAATCTAGCGGAAAGCGACGGAAAAGGTTGATGTACTCTCATAATTGGACTTCGGATGTCGAACGGAACACATAATAATATTTTTTTCTCTTTTTTGCTCACTTAATATACTTTTTTTATTTCTTTTACAGATTCTCTGCAAAAGTGTTGCGATCTTTCCCAATTATGGTACAGAGAGTTTTATCTGGAGATGACTATGGGACGGAAAGTTAATGTGAGTTAATTTATATATTTATCTAACGGAAAACAAAAACAAACCTATCCCACGGGAACGGTACATTTTTCGGGGGTAAAAAGTAGTAGTACTGTGACAAATTTCATCCAGATCCGTTCAGCTGTTCTTTGTTAATGATCAAAATTATAGGAATTTTTGTTTATAATGATTTTTCACCTACCAAAGTAAAAAATGGGATCATTTCAAGTTTTTTAAGTACTTACCTACTTTTCTATACCTATGTATATACATGCTTATAGTTTATATTCTATAATAATCGTTAAATGTGTATACATATAATAAATAATCAAACCCCCGACCTCCACAGAAATGCACAGTCCGCCATCAGCACAACGAGGAGTGCAACGATTTGATCACCATGGAGAAGAGGATCCAGTTCCCCATAGAGATGTCCATGCCATGGATCCTCACTGATCACATCCTGAAGTCGAAGGAACCGGCTATGATGGAGTAAGTCTGACCTACTGGTTCTTGCAAAACTATATTTTAGATTTTTTCGTGGATTTATTATTTTTAGTCTCCCCCGTAACCATGATTGCTGTAAAGCATTCGAAATGTCGGGAACAAAACATCAAAATAAATCCGCGAAAAAATCTGAATTTGACTAGTTTAAACTTAGTTATAACTTATAATAATATTTGACGACACGTTTGGCTCAGTTTGTAGTGACCCTACTTGTCGTGCCAGCGGTCGCGGGTTCGAGTCCCGCTGGGGGCATTCATTTGTGTGATGAGCACGAATGTTTGTACTCCAGTCATGGGTGTTTATAATATGTATGTATTTAAAAAAGTTATATATGTGTAGTGTATCAACTATCTGGTATCCATAACACAGGCCTCGTAGCTTACCATGGAACTAGATGGTGCTGTGTGTTAATGTCACAACATATTTATTTATTTATTATTTATTTATAATACATTAATGAGCAAGCGGTGGTATAGGTGAAGGAACACACGTGTTGTGAGTCTTATTTGCTTTTTGTTTCTATATGATGTTGTATATTGTGTGTAACTTTTGTTGGAGATTCTAAAAAAAAAAAAAAATTAAATAATTATTTTTTTTATTTTAGATATGTTCTATACCCATTGGATTTGTATAACGATTCGGCCCAATACGCTCTCACAGTGTTCAGAAAGCAGTTCTTATACGATGAAGTGGAGGCAGAAGTTAATTTGTGCTTCGATCAGTTTGTTTATAAACTGTCTGAACTCGTTTATGCACATTACAAACAGTTGGCGGCTAGGTAAGTTGTTTTTTTTGTCTTTGTTCTTTTTATGATCCATTCTAGTATAAATGTGAAAGTGTGTTTGTTTGTTCTTCTTTTACGTTAAACAGAGTGATGGATTGGCGTGTTTTTTTGTGTGGAGATAGTTGGAGGGTTGGAAAGTGACATAGGATACTTTTTACCGTGGGAGATTATCTCCTTTCCACGGGAAAACACGTTATAATATAACCCAAAAAATATTTCTGATCAGAATTACTTGAAAGTTGGTATTAATACTCTTCAATACAATTAAATAAATACGTGTTTTAGTATTTATCGAAATTCATTCCATAAGGGGGTAAAACAGGGGATGGAAGTTTTTATGATATCTACCCTTTTTAGTATTTTTTTGTAGTTTTAACGCGAGCGAATCCGCGGGTTCTGCTAAATAAATTCATCAGTTACAATAACTTGGGTATACAAAAGTAACATGCCTCATTACGTATTGCTTTTGCTATTGCAATTAGATAGCAATTTATATAACCGCTTATTAGTTAGTTTACATTTGAATAAAAAAATATTTAGATCAAGATATTAAACAATGATTGCAAAATAAAAATGTAAGTATTAAAGCATAATTTATATTTATTTTTAGTGTCTTAAAAATTCTTTTAAGGTGTGTTAATGTACTTTAGTGTATTTTTGAATAATGTAAAAGATATGTGAATTTCTTTAATATTGTTTGGTAAACATATCTACGTATAGAAGTGCTGTGTGTAATGTCAAAATAACAGCTTTATACTAAATGCATATGAATTATATATGGTACTATGTACTTTTTAAAGTATATCTGTCTGTTCGTTCCGGATAATCTCTGAAACGGCTGGGCCGATTTTGACTGGACTTTCACTGGAAGATAGCTGATGTTATACGGAGTAACATAGGTTAATTTTATTTTAGAAAAAGAATAAGGGTTGCGCTCAAAAAAATTAAAACGTGTCTAGGGACAAACCCTAGCGAAGCGAGGGTGAGTCGCTAATAAATTAATATACCCCCCCCTCTCCCCCAGCATGTTGCTGGACAAGCGCTACCGCGCGGAGTGCGCGGCGCGCGGCGCCTGCACCGGCGGCGGCGCCGGCCGCTACGCCTCGCTGCTGCGCCAGCGACACGTCGCGCTGCTCGGCCGGCACGTCGACCTCTGCGCGCTGGTGAGACACACACACACACACACACACACACACAGCCACTGACAGACAACAGTGAGATGCCTGACCATGTCGATCTACCACAGAGCCGGTGATAGATTCCTCACGAACTGACTACTAAAATGTAAAAGTGACGATTCAAAAGTGCTTGTAAAAGTATATTTCAATAAAGTATATTTTGATTTGACACGTACACTCGCACGCACATACACACACACATACATATACTCACGCACACACACTTACACACACACGCACACGCACGTATAAACACACGCACTATGAACTAATTTATTGTCTATGATGATCGATACATAACACTCTGAGGAGTCTATAGAAAAGATACATACGCACATCGATTTTAATATTATATAAATATATTTAATACACAGGTGGCGCAAAGAATAAATGCAGATATGCACCGGGCTTTAGATGCGGCCGTCGCCAAGTTCGAAGCTGGAGATATTACAGGAGTGGTGGTATGGATATACATACAGATATATTATCAATAGATATAGCCCGTGACTCTGCTCATCTTGTAGATAGGACGGTATAAAAATAACCTATATTAATGCAAGATATAAGTTATTTTTATTTAAAGCTTCACTCAAACCGGTTCAGCCGTTACAGCGATAGAGAGTGACTATATAGAGAGGTTAATATAATTCAAAATTATATTAGTACTGATGACTTATCCTCGTTTCTTTTTAGTTCTTTTAAGCGGAACCCTAATTCTTTTTCTAAAATAATAATAGCCTAAGTTACTCCTTATAACATCAGCTCTCTGCCAGTGGAAGTCCCGTAAAAATCGGTCCAGCCGTTTCGGAGATGAGCCGGAACAAACAGACAGACAAAACTTTTAAAAAATGTGTTTTTCTTTTAAGTACCGTTTATAGTTTGCATTTTGTAAAAAGCTGTTATTTTGAAATTACAAACAGACACTACAATTTTATTTATTTGTATAGACATATTTTTAATACATATACCCCCCTTCTTTCTCAGGAACTAGAAGGGCTAATCGCAGTGAATCGTCTTTGCCACAAACTCCTAAGCAGATACCTCACATTGGACGAATTTGATGCCATTTTGCGTGAATCGGACCACGGTGTTCTCGCACCGTATGGACGGATCACGCTTCACGTTTTTTGGGAGTTGAATTACGATTTCCTGCCGAATTATTGCTATAATGCTGCTACTGATCGGTGAGTGAGAGAATTGAGCTTAGATGGGGGATGTTTTTCATGTATATTTTTTTTAGTTTTTAAGTATTTTTGTCTTTAAAAGCACATCATTTGAAAACGGCTTAAGGAAAATTTTGATAAATTTTGATAGATTTTGATAATGATACATTATTGTGCGTATCTCTCTTTCAAGGGGAAGAGTATTAATGCTTAAAAAATAAAGCCTGTATGTGTACTTATGTACGCACGTAAGAAGTTATACTTCTTTGACGTAACAAAACAAAAATGGCAAAAGATTTCATCCCGTATGTCACAACTCTCTGTTTGTAAAAGGAATGCAGCTAACTTCATCATGTCGCTTTTTGGCTGTCGGTGTGTACAAATTTTACTCCATATTTTTTTCCAAACTTACCAAAAGAAGTATAACTTCAAAAATATAGTATTATTTTTATTATTCGTGTTTCATTACCAGAAATTGTATAATAACTTGACTAATACCTATATAGAATTTCCCTCATTCTTTTAAATAACTAAAATATCTGTATGGAAAATAGAGAATCTTTACATAGTATAAAATGAAGTCTCTTCCGTTGTCTGTTCGCTTAGACTTTTTAAATTACTCAACGGATTTTAATGCAGTTTTCAGCAATAGATATAGTGATTCAAGAGGAAGGTTTATATGTATACAGTATTACATGTATATTATAGTACAGAAAAGCCGAGAAATTCAAAGATATGTATTTCATACTAACCGTTAAGACGTACCTAGGGACGAACCCGAGCGAAGCGAAGGTGAGTCGCCACTAGTAGCATAAACAGCAAATCACACAATTATTTTTGCTTTGACATTTATTTTGGCGGATTCCGTCTATCTATATTCTTTAGTCTGATGTTGGTAAACACCATTCAGAATTGTTTCAAAAAGGTTTTTAGGAAAAGAATTTGGAAAAGTTATAAACCCGAAAAATTGGGAAAAGTGGGAGAAACTGAAAGTTCTGACAAAATTTTGATATAATCCCAAGAGAACATAAATAAATTCATTGAAATTGGAACAGGACTTATTTTCTTCGTTTCCCTGTCATTATCACATAAAAGCTATAAAAAAAATTGTCCAAAAAATTCCTTGAGGATATCTAGTAGTGTAATCTGGAGCTATTTATGTAAATAAAACACTAGATATTTAATCAAAAAATTGAGCCTAAATTTCATATTTAATAAAAAAAAATAATTTACCTATATGCTTTTTTTTAATGAACCAAACCATAACGCGGTTCAGACCGTAACGCCATCTATTGAGCATCGATGTAATCTCAACAAAAATTGTGAAATTCAATATTTTTTTCCCACCAGATTCGTCAAATGCCGCGGCATTCAGTTCGCGGGGGGAGTGCAGAGGGAGAAGCCCCAGCAGTACGGGCACGCCATGCTGTGGGGCTCCAAGCAGCTCAGTTTGGCGTATTCTGCTCAGTATGCGCAGTATAATGGTAAGAGATAGGGAGAGAGTGAGAGAGGAGGTGGGTCACTGGAATTCTAAGTTTAGATTCTCGGGTTACCAGACCCGTTGCGTCATCCGCCATCTTGAATTTTAAGGGTTGGGTTGATTTTTGTTTGTTGAATAATTCGTTTATTTTATTTTCAATTTTACACGAAAAACAGTTATTACAAAAGTTGTTTAAGATTAAATTTCTTACAATTTTGGTTCTCATCATTTTCTTCTTAGGATCGATATTTTTCGATTTGTACCGGAAAAGAGGGGGTGAATTTCTGTTTATTGAACAACTCGATTATTTTCAAATTTTCGCGAAAAATTGTAATAAACAAAGTTGTTTAAAATCAAATTTTATATAATATGTGTACTGAAGTCATCGGTGTTTATATTTATAATATGTATATATTTAAAGTTGTCAAGTGCCCCTCGCGCAGGGTTCGTGGGGCAGCAGCACCTGCACGCGCTGGTGCGGCTGCTGGGCTACCAGGGCGTGGCGGTGGTGGCGGCCGAGCTGCTGGGCGTGGCGCGCGGCCTGCTGCACGGCACGCTGGCGCAGTTCACGCGCGCGCTGGCCGCCGCCATGCCGCGCACCTGCAAGCTGCCCAGATACGACTACGGCTCTAATGGTCAGTCGTCATCATCATAATCACTACATGGTATAGAACAAAGTTGTCTGTCTGTCCCTATGTATGCTTATATCTTTAAAACTACGCAACGGATTTTGATCGGATTTTTTTAATAGATACGAGTGATTCAAGAGGATGGTTTATATGTATAATACATGCATATTATAGTGCAGAATAGCCGAGAAATTCAAAGATTATTAAAATATAAGAGTATGTAAAATATGTATTCAAATAAATAAAATTGAAGTGTAATGTCAAAATAATGAATAATCGCATTGTCCTAAATGCATATGGAATTATATACAGTATTTATAAGAAAAACACAATGTTTTAAATGTTTATCTGTCTGACTATTTGTCTTAGATAATCACTGAAACGGCTGGACTGATTTTGACGGGACTTTCACTGAAAGATAGCCGAAGTTATAGGGAGTAACATAGGCTACTCTTATTTTAGAAAAAGAATAAGGGTTCCGCTCAAAAAAAAATAAAACGTACGCTAGTAATAATAATAAGGATAAATAATTATTAGTGTGTCAATAACACTTTTATTTGTATCCCCGGATCCTATATCTATAGCACTAATATAGAGTGTTCCTCCAGGTGTCCTGGGCTACTACCACGCCCAGCTCACGGACATAGTGCAGTACCCGGACGCTCGCACCGAGCTGTTCCACGCCTTCCGCGAGCTCGGGAACATCATACTCTTCTGCATGCTCATCGAGCAGGTGAGGTTTGAGGATTAGACCCGCTTATTATATGATATACATATCTAAATGATCTTTGAGACGTCTAAAACTTCAGTTTTTCCCGTGACCATGTGCGCTGTGGAGCATTCGAAACGTCGGGCACTAAAATCTGCATAAATCCGTGAAGAAATGTAAATAGATGTGTGTTAATGATAGTTGTATTTAAAACTAGCTGATCCGACAAACCTTGTTCGATAATACGAGTATGTGTTAAATAAATGAAAGAATTAATAATGTTGTATACATATTTTTTTAAGTACATGTTAATTATATAATAATAATATATACAGATAAATAAAAATGAACTGTCTGTGTGTAATGTCAAAATAATAGCTTTTTACTAAATGCGTATGTATAAATATACGGTACTTATGAAAAACACAATTTTTATTATTTTTTTGTCTATTTGTTCGTTCGGCTAATATACAAAACGGCTGGACTAATTTTGTTATAATGAGTAACTTAGGCTACTTTTATTTAAAAAAAAAATTAGAGTTCCTCTCTAAAAAATTGGAACGTACCTACGGAAGCACCCGAGCGAAGCGTGTGTAAGTCGTTAATAATATATATATAAAAAGAACTTTTAATTGGTTTTCAGGCTCTGAGTCAAGAGGAAGTAACAGATCTCCTTCACGCTGCGCCCTTCCAGAATATTCTACCGCGTCCGTATACTGCCGGTATGTTTTCCATCCTGAAGTCCATCTCACTGACCTGATGCTGGAGCCAGGGGCTGATGGTGGAACTCTTAAATGGCTACTGGTTACACCATACAGTGCGGGCTTGTTTGATTTGACGAGTCATATATCGTCATCTCAGTACTTATTTGTTCATACCACAAATACTTGTTGTACTTTACTGTAGAGAGGTTTCGTCTTCTATTTTAAAAACAAAGCTATATTTCTAAGATTTATAAACATGTATACATAAAATATATCTTTTCAGCCTCTATTGAGGCAAAATATGTATTTCTAATCAATAGAATTGACATTTAAAAGTAAATAATTATGTATTAAAAACTCTTTTGGTGAATTGGTCGTTTGGACAAATAAGCACTGAGACGACGATGTCGACGACGATTAGAGTCGGTTAAAAGAGTATTTGGGTGTGTTTCTTAATCTATATTTTGAAGTGAAACTTCTTTAGAATCGTTGTGATTTGAAACTCATGCGACGCTAAAAAGAGAAACACACAAATATACAGAATTAAGCCGGCGAGAGAATGAGATAGAATACATTGCCATGTTGCCATGGTAACTGTTAATATTGGATATCTCCTCGATGTATTCTATCGAATACATTACACAGGAAGAGAAAAGTAATAAAATTAATTACTGAATAATATGTAATGTATATTTATGTCAAATAAAATTTTTTAAACTTGGTAAAAATATTATAAAAAATAAACCTTACAATTATGCCACTCCTGATACTCTATATTCATCTCACTCTCTCGTAGGTTACTTTTATGAAGTTTCACTTCTACCGTGTGTGAATTGAACACAAACACACACACATTTTTATACTAACGTCTTACCCTCGCTTCGCTTGGGTACGCACTTATATGGTTTTTGTATATATAATGTTATATATAGACAGCACTACCTTTTGATAAGTTTTATTACTAAAGTAGCCTACGAGTTACTCCAGGTCTTAAGCTATCTGTGTACTAAGTTTCATCGAAATCCGTCCAGCAGTTTTAGCGTCAACGAGTAACAAACAAATACACACACACACACAAACAAGTCGTATAATGTATAAATATTATATATTATATCACAGAGGGAGAGAAACCGGAGACAAAGCAGAAACGTTTAGAAGCGAAGTACGCGGCGCTACAGATTGTGCAGAATGTTGAGAAATATGGCACTGCAAAGGTGAATATGGTTGTTTTCTTTATTATTATTATTTTTTGTATGACTAGGGACAAAAAATCTGGAAAAACAATAAGAAATGTACAATTTTATTATATGTAAAGATAGATGGATATGGACAAAAAGTGAAATTGAAAATCATGAAAGAATATAATATAACAGAAAATCAATTACTGTTACATTTATAATTTTAGTACGCTCATCTAAATCGGTTCAGCGTAAAAACGTAACACACAGACAGACACACATATATACAGATCGGACTTAACAAAAACCAACCAACCAACCAACCATGTCTATTCCAGCAAAGCCAGCTGTCGCGCGAGGGCGACCTGCTGACGCGCGAGCGCCTCTGCTGCGGGCTGTCGCTGTTCGCGGTGGTGCTGCGCCGCCTGCGCGCCTGCCTCGCCGCGCCGCCCTGGCCCGCGCCGCCCGCGCCCGCGCACCACGCGCCCGCGCACGCAGACGACACCGCCGAGTTCCACCGGTCAGTGCTGACAGCTGTCAGTGGTGACAGGTGTCACGTGTCAGACTTTATGTCAGAGTATTGTCATAATTTCTAAATTACCGCTCAATCTCATTCGTGTCTTCTTCACAAAACGTGACACTGGAAAAATGGATTGCATCTGTTAACGCAACTATAAGTCATTACTGAAAGAAAAAAATGTGTCACGGAAAGATGTTTTATCAGCGAAGTAATCAGTGCTTTATTGACACGTTTTAAAACCATTAACAAAAAACAATTTTAGTTCTATAAAAGTGTGATGTGACACATCACAGTGTGATGTGTATCGATCAAAAAAATACTAGATACACAATCAATCTGCGCTCATTTGAACGCGCTTTTAATTAATAATTTTTTTATGAAAACATCTTTAAGCGTTGCATGTAAGATTCCATTTACATTGTCATATATTTATTTCAATTGGAATAATTACCGAAACAAAATCGGTGACCGTTTAAGAAACTTTTGTATGGGATTGTGTGTCTAGTTATAAAGTATGTAAATGGCCGTAGCCCTATACGAATCCAGACCCCTCCCCCACTATGCTTCCATGCTTAGAGGTGTCGATTCAATTCAAGCTTGTTCAATCAATGACTTTAAAACGTGCCAATACAGTACAGATTAATTCTACAATGTATACGGATAAATTTTCATTTAAAAAAATCACGTGCCATCAAATTATATCATCACGTTAGATCTGTAAAATGCCATTATAGACATAGATTATATATCAATGCCGTGTTATTTTTTTTATTGAGTTATTGTTTTTTTTTGTTTCAGTCTGTGGTCAGCCTTACAGTTTCTATACTGCATCCCCGTTGGAGATACGCAATTCACTGTCGAGTGAGTATATTTATTATAATTATATATTATACGCGATGAACAAAACAAAGATTTGAATATCTTATCAATGATCTGTATTATTCTGTTCTAACAGAATTACAATAAACATTTATTATATGTCCTGCCGGAGTATGAGAGTGACAGGGACAGAGATTGCACTTTTGTATATCTCTCTCCCTTGCACACTGCACTATAATATCTCCCGCAGTTGGCTAATCTCAGTGAGATTGGCCGCCGTGGCCGACAACGGTCGGGAGAAATTTATTATTATTATTTTTAAAATAAACTTATCTTCTCTCCTTTCTTTCAAAAGAAGATATTACTCTATCACACGGGCCTTAACCAAGTGTGATAGAATTAAAAAAATACGTAACTGGAAGTATCAAAGTTATCGTTGAGGAATAATAACAAATTTTCGTATTTATTTTTATTATTCCATTTCTTTCAACAGGGAACTGTTCGGTGAAGGGCTCCATTGGGCCGGATGTACAATAATAGCCCTGTTGGGTCAACAACGTCGCTTTGATGCTTTGGACTTCTGCTACCACATACTGAGGGTCCAACGTGTTGACGGCAAGGACGAGCTGGTTAAAGGGATTGTGAGTATTACTCTTATCTGTGGTTTTTTTGAAACTTCTTTAGAACCGTTGTGATTTGAAACTCGATGAAACGAAAATGCGACACTAGAAAGAGACAAACACATAAATATATCGGATTAAGCCGGCGAGAGAAAGAGACAGAATACATTGCCACGTTGCCATGGTAACCGTTGTTATTGTCTGAAAAATGTATATTTATTTCAAACTTTACAACTTGGTAAAAATATTATAAAAATATAAACCTTACAACGATCCTACTCCTGGTACACTATATATGTTCACCTCACTCTCTCGTAGGTTACTTTTCTGAAGTTTCACTTCTACCGTGTGTGAATTGAACACACACGCACCTTTTTTTATTAATTACAAATTCTTATTTATAATTGGGAAGAGAAGTTAATATGAATAAGTAATAATATCCATTATTAATATTATGAATGTGGAAGTTTGTTCTTGTTTGTTTGTCCTTCTTTCACATCAAAGCAATCCTGTAAAAAATCCTTAAATATTTTTTGAAAATATTATTGAAATAGTCATTATTATCGATACAGTGAATCTATAGTTTTTAGAATTTTTGCCTGTCTGTCTGTCTTGTCTGTCTGGGAACGCCTCACAAGAAAATATATATATATATATATATATATATGGCTGGTTATCCGGGTCAACATATAGAATACTTTTTACTGCGGGAAAATATCTCATCTATGAGAAATATACTAAACGTTAAAACGTAACTTGAGACAAACCCGAGCGGAGTGAGGGTGAGTCGCTAGTTCAATAATAAATAAGTAATTATTAAATTAACAAGCACATCTAGGGTCTAAGCTTATCGTCGCGTACTGGAGTGTGTAATGTCATTACACCAAAAATAATTATTAAATAGGCACGCCTGAAGCATGCTTTATATGTACATCCTAAGAATATTGTATTTATTTATTTATTTATTTATTTATTAGGCAAGCCAACGCAACATACAATGTGATATAACACTAAAAATATAAAACAAATTTAAAAAGTATTACACTGTACATCACACTTACAGGCTAGCTCAACATGTAATATAATAAGGCGTTCTCTACTTCCAACCCTAATTCCCACACCCAAACAAAAAACTAAATTAAAGATTAAAAAAAAACAGTACAAAATGAAAATAAAAAGCCATGAACAATAAAAATCATTACTATAGTCTACAAAACCATTATAATAAAAAATCAGTACCGTAAGTTAATTGAAAAATGTATTTAAATAAAAAAAAAAAAACTACATAATTAATAACCCAAAAATTAACTAAAAATGCAAGTGGCATAACAAACATTTATTTTTCTTTATTGCGAGTGTGTGAAATATTTTTTTAATTTATTCTTAAATGACGTGGCGGAGTCTTTGAAAATGTCAATTTTTGCCTTGCTAAAAAGCAAGTTATAGCTCCTTACGGCTCTGTTTAAAGGAGCAGTTGTGCCTAAGTTAGACTTTACCTTTCGACATTGAAAAGTGCATTTTCTTTTTATATGGGCTCTTGCGTTCTGTCTCGGTATAGAAAACATAATTTTTGTCAATAAATTTTTGCAATCTACTCCTCCACTTATGAGTTTATGTAAAAAACAAACATCTAGCATTGTTCTACGACTTGATAGGGAAAGAGTTTTATAATATCTAAGCATGTCAGTGTAATTATTATTCTCATTTATCTTATTATCTTTATAAGTTAAGTGTCTCAAAAATTTCTTTTGTACTCTCTCTATTCTGTCCTTGTGTACTTGATAGAATGGATTCCATACAACAGAACAGTATTCTAATTTGCTTCTCACCATTGAATTAAATAATACTAATCTGGTTTGTGATTTCTTAAATTCTTTAGTGTTTCTCATAATAAAACCTACTGTTTTTAATGTTACTTTTAATAAATAATCTACATGCGGCACAAAACTTAGCTTATTGTCTATCGTGATGCCTAAATCATTTATTTCTTTTATATTATTTAGTACATCTCCATTTAGGTTATACGCGTAATGAACATTACTTAATTTTCTGCTAAATGTAATAGTGAAACACTTCTGGCAATTTAATTTCAGTTGATTCTTGTTACACCACCCAAGCAATCTATTAAGGTCCTGCTGCATTAATAATGAGTCATTTATGTTTTCTATTTTTTTATAAATCTTAAGATCATCTGCGTAGAGATGAAAATGACAATATTTAAAACATTTTACTATGTCGTTAATGAATATTCCGAATAAAATGGGCCCGAGATGAGAGCCTTGTGGTACTCCAGAGGTAGCGATAAATGAATGTGATTGATATCCTCCAATAACTACATTCATCTCCCTATTTATTAAGTATGATTTTAACCAGTCAAGTAACCTGCCATGGATGCCATAGTTGTTAAGTTTTTGGATTAAAATTGAATGATTGACCATATCAAAGGCTTTTGCAAAGTCTGTAGATATACAATCTACTTGGTCACCTTTGTCTAATGACTCCGACAAGTTATCAACAAATAAGGTTAAGTTTGATATGGTCGATCTATTGCTGATAAATCCGTGCTGTTCCTCATGAATCATAGATTTCATATGCCAATTAAGTGATTGACAAATTAGCGTTTCGAAGATTTTACCAAATATTGATAATATACATATTGGTCTATAGTTTGATATTTCCTTTTTGTCGCCATTTTTAAATATAGGAACAACCCGAGCTTTTTTCCACTTTGCCGGAAATTCTCCTTCATCTAAAGATTTCTCGTATATTAATAGCAACGGCTTAGCTAAGAATATTGCGCAACGTTTAGCAAAGATTGGAGGTATATCATCTGGTCCAGCACCTTTATTTGTTTTTAGACTTCTTAATTTACTTACTATTTCAGTTTCCGTAATGTTTATCCTGTGTAAATAAGATTTTTGGAATTCATCCTGAGAAAAATTCAAAGACGTTACTCTGCTCGGTGTATATATACTTGAGAAATGATTAGCAAATTGATCACATATGTCTGTTCCTTTGGTAAATGTAGAACCTTTTAGTGTCATAATGGCTGGGTAGTCACATTTATTGGAACGCTTTTCCTTTAAAAATGAATAAAAAAATTTAGGATCAATTGTTATATTGCTCTCCACCCTATCAATGTAATTTTTGTATTCTAAATTTATAAGAAATTCACACCTGTCTCGAAGCAATTTAAATTCAATTTCATCTAATGGGTTTTTATATTTCTTACAACGTATTCTATATTTATTTTTCTCAGCTAGTCTTTTAATTAAGCTGTTAGAGTACCACACAGGATAAAAAGTTTTATTCCTGACACTTCTTTTTGGAATACACCTTTCAATAACTTTGCGTATCTCATTATAGAAAATTTCTGTCATTTCATTTACATTGACACAGTTTTGAAATAGTTGCTCCCAATTTAATTCTGCTAATTTTGCATTAATTATATTATAATCAGCACTTATAAATTTGTATTTCACCATTGTGCTGGGACTTAGTAAGGTATCCTTACAATAAGTTTCGTAATTAATTTCTAAAGGTGGATGATATTTGTCTATTGGACATGCAGAAAATGAACTATATTCTGTACTTATGTTGTTACAATTGCTAAAAACTAGGTCTAAAATTTTTCCATATGAATTACATATACCATTATGTTGAGATAAATTTGTTACTGCCATAAAGTCATTTATTAATGCGCCCACTGTGCTGTTATTATCTGGGGTAAGTTTTTTATGGTTAAACTCTTTGTAAGTCCAATGAATTGCTGGTATATTAAAGTCTCCTATCAGAATGGTACAGGATTGTTCGTTTATAATTTTCTCCACATTATTAATGTAACCTTCAAGTACATCACACTTTAAAGGCGATGGAATATAGACTGCACAAATAGAAACAGGAGTTGAGTCTAGTATAATATTTACCCAAAGGTCTTCATATTTGGTTTCCCAAGAGTTTATCCTAACACTCTTGTACCGTTTAGAAACGGCAATTAGTACTCCTCCTCCGTCCAACTTGCAACTGTCGCTTGATTCACGATCTCGGCGAAAGACAGTGTAACGATTATCAATAACTTCATTGCTAGTTATGCTATTATTTAGCCACGTTTCAGTGAAAATTATAATATCAAAATCACAGCTAAGAATTGCAAGGTAAATAACATTAGTTTTAGTTCGTATGCCTCTTACATTTTGGTAAAAAATCCTTAAGTTCTTTACCATTTGATAAAGAAAAACAAACTATTCTAATTTATCCTAAAAAAATACAAATTACAAACAGGTCTGAAATACAATAACTGCAAATAAAATAGTTTATTGTAATGTTTTTAAAAACTCTTTCGACTTAACTAGTATTACGTCACTTGATATCGATTTTCGAAGGTAAATATTACCGTTACGTGACCACACAAACCGATACTGTTTTTCTTTTGCGAAAATTCGTGTCGCAGCGTAAATATCCTTTGCCGTTGAAGTTAAATGTTCCGATATATACACTGGCTTCTTATCCCCAGAAATGCCAAGATGTGATGTATTTAATTTACTATCCGGATTACTCTTATTAAATTTTATCACACCTGCTAGGAAACTATCTCGCAGTAAAGGATTGCTAAATTTTACTAGAACCGATCTCGGACGTGATGTCTCTTTATTAATTTTAGCTATGCGTGTACACTTAGAAATTGCACCTTCTGTTAATGGTACATTTATTACTCTTCCGATCTGCTCAATTGTTGTGACTAAATTTTCACTCCTATGTTCTGGCACACAATGTAACTCTAGATTAGTAGCTCTTATTTCTCTCTCCAGATTATTAATTGTGTTATTTTGGGAATTTAACACCTGACGAAGATCGTAATTGTCCTTTTTTAAGCTTGTTATTTCCTTTTTAGCCTCCTCCAACTCTTGCTTAATTGAATCAAAATGACTAGATAAATACTCTAAAGATTGTTTAATACTTTGCAAACCAGTTAGTTCCTCACGTATGCTTTTTAATTCTAAGCTGACTGTTTGAGATAGTACCTCTTTTACTTCGTTCCTTATTGCAGCTAGCCAGTCGCTATGGTTATCGAAATTATCTTTGCTTGTGTTCGCCAGTGGTGGGGATGGCACTTTATTAATATTGTTCCGATTATTATTATGGCAATTTGGACATGTCCACTGTCCTCGCGTTACTATAGGCTTGTTACCAAAGGATGTTATACACTCTAAATGATATTGAGCCTGGCATTTAACACATTTTATTCTTTTCTGGGTGACAAGTACACTTGCATTGCAGGCACAACATTCATTAGTCATTTTAAAGAAGTGCAGATAAATAATTAAATATTTGAAAAAATATTATTTAGTGTGAGATTCGAACCCGGGTTACTCGAAGCGTTTAATTACAATCTTCTAACAGAGTCCACCGTCAGTTTAACTTTAATTGCGAAATATTCCATATACTGGTAGTTGCTGTCATGAACTTTTATATACGAGTATGTTAATTTTTACATTTGAAGGTAGACATAGCTTATATCACTTGCATATTATATTTTTATCACTTTTACGCTTACAAATAGGCACAGTCTTCAATTGTCAATGATTGTACATAATACTAAAAATCACAAATGTCACAAATTAGTATAATTTAACCACTTTATACACCAAAACATGAATTTAGAAACTGGAAGTGGGCAAAGAACACCCGTTCTGTTTGACTTTTATTTTAAATGTAATGTACTTTTATTTTAATTGTATTGTTGTAAGAATCTGTACTTACAATTATATAATAAATTTTATATAAATAAAATATAAAGAGGAAAGATTTTTTTGTTTGTTTGTACCGAATAAGCTTCGAAACAACTGAACCGATTTAGATGAAATTTGGTAAGAGGATAGTTTAAGACTCTGGTAAGGACATAAGATAATTTTTATCCCGGATATATTTTTTTCTTGAAATCCCTATTGCCATGTCTCATTTTCTTATACTTAATCATCCCTCATCTCAAACTTTCCAGCCTCTAAAACGTATGGTGGACCGCATCAGACGTTTCCAAGTCCTCAACTCGCAGATATTCAGCGTCCTCGCTCGCCACCTCGCCGCCGACGACGAGAGGGCTGGAGTGGAACATGTGCGATGTTTCCCTCCACCTGCTGCACACCATCATAGCTAATGAAAAAAATTTAAATTTCCCATACAGTCAATGTAAATTTCAAAATTCCACCCCAAAATGTGGAATTTCCACCCTAATTTGTAAACAAATGTCAATATTTCTGCTTTTAAGGTGGAATTTTGGAAATTCACTGTAATATGGGAAGCAAGATGGCGATATCGAGGAAAAATATACAATTAGATTAAGTACTTCTTACCACGACGCAAGAAGTTATAATTCTTTGGCGTAACAGAAGAATAATTGCTAAAGATTTCATCTTGTATGTCACAACACTCTGTTTGTAAAAGGAATCCAGCTAACTTCATCATGTTTTTTTTCGGCTGTCGGTGTGCGCGCGCATCGTAAAAATTTTACTCTCATTATTTATTTCCAAACGTCCCAAAAGAAGTATAACTTCGAAAAACTAAAATTCCCATAAAATCGGTGTAAATTTCAAAATTCCACCCCAAAATGTGGAATTTCCAGCCGAATCTGAAAACAAATGTCAAATATTTCCTTTTTTAAAGTGGAATTTTGGAAATTCACTGTAATATGGAGAACAAGATGGCGATATCGAATAAAGATAAACAATTAGAATAAGTACTAATATTTGATAATATCAATGATTAATTTGATAGAGGAAGATAAAAACATAAATTTTTTTTTCGATTTTTTTGTGAGTTGATCAAAAATAACTAAATATGTGCATTCCTTTCTCTCATATAGCATTTTAATTAATTAAATATGGCTGAAAAAATTTTTTTTGATTGAAATTGATATATAAAAACAAAGATACACATTTCCTAACAAATATCTCTTCAAAAAGTGGCGTCGACATGTGACGTTAAGTCAAACTAAAGAATAACATTCAAAAATCGAAAGTTCTAATTGTTTAAACACAAACTCGAACTTACGCACACCACACATAAAGTACTTTTTTAAACGAAACAACGTGCGTTTTAATTTTGTCATCCGAAAAGCAATGAACACAAGAGATTTGAAAAAGCGCTCAATTTCGAATTGTGCACTTTTTTTTGAGGACACTTTTGAGACTCTAATTGTATATCCCGAGTTTTTGTATATCGATGAATCGAGCACTAAATAACGATAACAGTTTTAAAAATCATAATAAAGCCGTTATTATCTGTTTTTTTTTCTAACTCGATACTCTTTAATACTATGTTTTTTCCATTATTCATAAGATTATTATTACATTTTAATATTAAATGTGTACTGACTTCAAAAACAATATTTAGTACATAAATTTAAAATGGCAGAAAAAATACATTTCTGGAGGTGTTTTCATAATAATTTACAGAAACATAAATTAAACGAAAAAGTTAATAGGAAAATTAAAATATATTGGAGGTTTTTTTTTACTACTTAAAGGCTTTGTTGGGTTTTTTTCCCAAATTATATGAGATTATTGAAATATAATTTTATTAATTTAAAAATTCTCGGCGGTGTAGCGGCTAGCATGTACAGCTTCACACCTGGAGGTCCTGGGTTCGAGTCCCGGGTCGGCCAAGTTTAGTTATTGAGTCTTTCTGTATAGTAAGCCTCAGTAACAGCCCGGAGTTGGGAAGTTGGCGGTGTTTCACCCCCGTGCCTCGGAGAGCACGTAAAGCCGTCGGTCCTGCGCCGACACTCTCACTGGTCGTGTCTCGTGTCGCCCCACCGGAGTATGAGAGTGACAGGAATAGAGAGTGCACGTTGTAATATATAATTAAATTCGAAATTGTGTAAAGTATCCACAATATTCAAATTCAAAATATTTTATTCAGCATTAAATTATTACAATTTTTTTACTGAACGTCATGAGTCTACTACCAGTTCGGAAAGAAGAAGCCCCAGACCTGAGAAGAACTAGCGAAAGAAACTGAAGAATAAGAAAGCGCAGATGTAAGAACCTCTTTCTTTTTGAAGTCGGTCATATATTAAACTTTTTCATAGTAAGCTTAGATTTAGATGATAGTCTTTCGTAATCCTTTTAGATTTTTAAGTAATAAATATTACTTAGGTAATTATTTCGGATTTTGTGTATCGGATTCGGATTTTCAATTTTGCTATATTTAATTATAATACTTGTTTTTTTAAAATGTTTAGAAATAAAAATCAACAAATTTAATCTAAATCAGTTGTAAAGTACTTTGGTGCCATTTTTGAATCTTTGTAATCATTTTTGTAAAATAGTGGGGAGGCACTGTCTGTAACAAGTATAATGTGTTTGAGATGTCTATAACCTTAGTATCTCCCGTGACCATGATTGCTGTAAAGCATTCGAAATGCCGGGAACCAAAAAATCCTAATAAATCCGCGAAATAATCCGAAAAGATAGTTTTATTTAAAATGTTCAATTTCAGATTTTAAATTTGACATAAATATTATTTAGTATCGCATGCTTTTTTTAAATTGTATCATGGTTTTTTTTTAAATTGAAATGGTAAAAATCCGAATGAATACGAAATCCGAAATTAATTGCGCTTGTATTACATAACCGAAGATATTACCCATGTATGCATTTCATATTTAATTTTTTTTTATGTCGCTTAGTGATTTTTTAAGTTTTTTATTCACACAGATTAAATATATTTGTAATTGACTGCTTATTATATGTTAAGATTTTTTAGTATTTACTTATAGTCTAAGAGCCGGATACACCACGACCTTCACCGATCTGTTAACCGGATGAAACAATTATTTATATTCTTTATATTATATACTATCGGTTAGAACAAAATTCGACTGGTTAGCAGAATGGTAAAAAAAAAAAACATTATTTCCATTATTTCCATAAACAGGATTTCCATAAGCAAGCTATTTTAGGCGGCGTATTTATTTATTATTGAAACTTTATCAATACTCATATTATAGAGAGGTAAAGTTTGCGAGTTTGTGTCGTTGTAGGGGGTAATCTCTGGATCTACTGAACTGATTTAGATTAAATTTGGTAAGAAGATAGTTTGAGACCTTGGGAAGGACATAGGATACTTTTTATCCCGGTAATCATCCCTTAAGGGGGTAAAAATGGAGATGAAAGTTTGTATTGGGAAGCAAGCTAGGGACGATCCGAGGGAAGCGAGGGTGAGTCGCTAGTAAAAAATATGTTTCATCCGGTTAACAGGTCGTGGTGTATTCACTATTCCCTTAGACTATTAATTATAATTAATTATTATTGTATTAAATTATGTACTGCCCTTTTTTATTCGCATTTTAGAATGATAAGTGAAAAAGTTTTGTTATTTTATTTAGGATTAAACTCGTAGAATTTAAAAATATATCTCTTTTATATGATTATTTGTATTATGCCAATTATAACTAATAAATGTATGCAAAATGATTTTTTTTCTTTTTATTACAAAACCCCTTAACGTTAAATAATTGAGCTGTTTTAAAATAAAAATGGCTTCTCTATAAGAGAAATCTTTATATTTTTAATAGAATTGAAAAAATAAGAACATGGTCTTTATATTATCTATATTAAAAAACTTAACTTTTTAGTGGTTTTGTTTTTTTTTATTTTCACAATAATCATTAACGAATGTTTGTTTTTATAAAGATTTGTATTTTATTATATTTTTTTAGATATATGTATATAAAATTCTGAGTCGAATCTTTACATTAAATATTTTTTGGAAAATCTTATTGAAATAGTTATTGTTATCGATACAGAGGCCGAATCTATAGTTTTGAGAATATTTGTCTGTCCGTCTGTGTGGGAACGCATTACGAGAAAACCACTGGACAGATTTTGATGAAATTTTAAATTATTTATAAGTGATATATATTGACATATTATTATTTAATAAATAAATAAATAGTATATAAAAAGAAAAACTTCATAATAATTTAAAAGGTATTTATTTCTTTATTATTTCAAATTTAATATACAGACAGAAATGTTATTTTAATAACAAATACCCTAACCACAAAAAGCTTCCCGTTCGACATTTTTGACATTTCCATTATACATTTTTTAAGGGCAATCTTTTTTTCTTTTTTTTAATCTCATCTTTTTTAAAAGGCAATGAAATGAAACACAAAGAGCCACGCTAAGTATTTATTTTAAAAAAACTTAGTGAAATGCTTTACCCGTTGCCTAAGTCCCATACAAATTATTAGCAAGCTAGACGCTCAGAAAGAACATTTTATGCACCACGGAACAGGGATTCGTAGTTCTAAAGACAACAATTCCACACATAATATATACAGGACGATTAAAAAACGTTTTTTGAGAAAAAAAAATAAGAAAAAAGAACTCATTTTTTTCGTATTTCCTTTTATTTTTATTAAAAACAATTGTTGTCTCCAAAAATTACAGCTGACAAATAACTATAGCTTATGTTAAAATAACATTAAATCTAAAAGAGCAGCATAAATCAATCGGCTGATCTTCTACATTTGTGAAATAAAAATTTTGGATTAAGGTTCCAACCGGTTGAAAAAAACCCCCGAAAAATCGCACATTTTTTTGTAAAAACAAATCTATTATTTATTCTAAATAAGGCTGAATGGCAGTATGTTTTTTTTTTCATTAAATTTTAAAATTTATCATTTAAAAGAAACTAATATTTTTATTATTTTTTCCCAAAAAAAAAAAAAACTATTATCCAGTTGAAACCTTCACAAAAATCCCATATTTTTTACAATTTGTACTTTATCTCCAAAAATGGTTGATTTTTGATATTATCTTACCTTTAAACTATCTTATTTTATACATAAATATCTAAACATATATTACAAAAAAAATATAATTACTTATTGCAAGAGACGACATCTGACGACATCTTTCAAAACTTCGACGAGCTATTAAGCGTTAGTACACGAAAACACTAAACTAAACAAAAATGGAATATTTTTTTAATCTATCACATTTTTTATTTATAGTCATCTTGTGTTAAGAAAAAAAAATAGAAAAATCTATTTTTTTGTTTGCATTAAATTTTTTTGTTCTAAATAGAACATTTTAGTAAGTAAAAGTTTTATTTCCACTTCAGCTATTAAAGTGGCATTCAATGGCTAAAAAGTTAGTATTTTTTGTTCCTTTCATACGGTAAAAACAGTTTTCGTATACATTCTAATGGAAAAATCAAATGAAAGTACATATAAATGATATTTTTTTAAATTACTGAAGCATATTTAGTTTGTTATACATAATAAATACCATATAATATGTAATCCCATATATTTTTCGATTACAGTAAAAAAATCAGCTAAGAAAAGTTCTCTTAGCAAAATAGGCATAACTCAAAATTTCCTTATAAAACGTCCCTTTGATCTTTTACATTGTTGATAACTCGAAAATTAAAGTTATAACATAACCAGTGTTTTTTTTATTTAATCGATTTAAATATAAACCGCCAGCGGTAAGAAAAAAAGAAAAAAAAACTTCATTTCCGAGTTGAGTTTCCATAAATAAATAACAGTATGGAAAAATCGATATATTACTCCAAAAAACAAGAATTTTTCACGATATTTTAATCATGAAACAAAGTCACTTGATATGCTGAAACCAAACAACTCAGCATAAATATTTATGCGTCTGCTGAAATCGGATAACTCAGCAGAAAACTTCTTGTTGTAAATATATTGTATAATCATATAACTCGATATAAGCAATATACGTCTGTGTGTATAGGTCACTGTTCGTAGTTTTTAGCTTTCCTGTCCATTTCGTCGTCAGACGAACGGTTCATTGGGTGATCTGTGGAAAAAATTAAAAAAAAAATTAATTAAAAAAATAATAATAAAGTAATATTATAAGTTAAACTTTGATTTTTTTTTAAATTATGAATGTTAAATTAATGTCGGGCATTTCAAAGAATATCTAAGTTTAAAAACAAAACACAGTTACATAATTCTACAGATGGTAATAAAAATTTATCGTTACAAATGAGAATGATTGCTAAATTTCAAATTGTCACTCAATAATTTACTTTTTTATATGAGAAACCAGAAAAAATACGCATAAAAAAGAGCAATTTTTTCCTATAAACTCAATGAAAATCCACAAAAAAACCTATTAAAAACCAAAACTAATGGCAAAAGACTTACCATGATGCATTTTCGGGACCAACACTACATTGCCGTCGGCCGCCTGTTGTAGGGAGAATTGAGTAGAAGATAGAGGCCGGCCTTCGGGATCGCGTAAGTTCTGGAACAAGTTTTTTTTATAAATTACATAAAACGAAAAAGTACATAAAATTTAACAAAAACAAATTGAACTTTTTCTTTTTGGTATTATACCTTTTTGGTATTATACCTCTTTGGTATAATTATGTATGTAATTTGGTCATAACAAAAAGAATCAGGAGAATGATTATTTTCTTATTAAATCAAATAAATGTTAGTCAAAATGGCGCTCTATTTTCAATGCAATTCAATTTTTTTATATAGTTATTTAACTCTTACAAAAAATTTTACACGTCGGTCTATCACCAGTTCGGGAAAAAACCCATCCCGAAGAGAATGGAATAAAATAGGTATTAAAATAGAAATATTTAAAAAAACGACGAAACATATAACTTTTTTAAAGTCATAACATGTAATTCAAAAAAAAATCTCTAAGAGAAAGACACAAAACGAAAAAAATTGATCCCAATTTAGGCTTTATTGAAGTTATACTTCTTTTGGCATGTTTGGAAAAAATATGAGAGTAAAATTATTACGATGCGCGCGCACACCGACAGCCAAAAAGCGACACGATGAAGTTAGCTGCATTCCGTTTACAAACAGAGAGTTGTGACATACGGGATGAAATCTTTAGCTATTTTTGTTCTGACAATAAATGATAGTAGAAAATTGACAAAGAAATATAACTTCTTACGTGCGTACATAAGTACACAAACACGTTTTTTTTTATTAAATTTAAAGCCGTGTACAAAACTAACCTGGAACACATGTCTGTATAATGCAGCAAACCGCTCCTTGACCCTCTGCCTTTCAGCTAGAAGGGCATGATGGTCCCGCTGAGTGCACGCCTTGCGGTCCCTCACTGTGCGCACTTCGTCTGCGAGAGTCGTGATCTGATCCAACTTGCGTTTGCGACAATTCTGTGCTGCCACCTGTTACGGGATTGAAGTACTTGTAGATGACGAATGTTTGTTTGTTTGTTTGGTTGTTTGATGAAGTGAAACTTCTTTAGAATCGTTGTGATTTAAAAATTCGATGAAACGGAAACACGACACGAGTAAGAGACAAACACATAAATATATGTGGACTAAGCCAAGTTGCCATGGTAACCGTTGTTATTGTCTTACAAGTATATAATAGTATATTCTTTCCGTATACGATATTCTATAAATATATGATTGTAATATGCCTTATTTTATTATTGATTATATTTGCCAAATAAGTTTTACTTCAACCGCGCGTACAGGTTACGCGCAACCATTTTTTTGTTTGTTTTTGTGTGTGGGTGTGCTTGCTGTACAGACTTGATTAAAATTTAGGGCATAGATGGACGATGATGGAGTAACATATAGGTTGGTTTTAGGCACCTAAGGATGTATTACGCTTGTTACCTAACTGCAAGTGTCAATTTGACGTCTCCCGAAGTGTGAGTGTGACAGGAACAGAGAGTGCACGTTGTGTGTCTCTCTCCCTCGCACACTGCACTATAATATCTGCCGCAGATGGCTAATGGCTAGTTTCAGTGAGATTGACCGTAGTGGACATCGGTCAGGAAGACATTAATATTACACAATTTCATGGGTTTAACTTTTTTGCGCGGAACCTGAATACATTTTATAAAATAAAAGTAGCCTGAGTTACTCCTTAAATCATCAGCTATCTGCCAGTAAAAGTCCCGTTAAAATCAGTCCAGCCGTTTGTGAGATTAGCCAGAAAAAACAGACAGACAAAAATTATAAAAGTTGAGTTTTTCTTGTATGTACCGTATATAATGTCATATGCATTTAGTAAAAAGCTGTTATTTTGACATAACACACATGACACAGACACAAAAAAATTTATATGTACGAGTATATACATACATGTATGTATATATGTATGTATATATGTATGTATGTATGTATGTATGTATGTATGTATGTATGTATGTATGTATGTATTTATGCTTGTATGTTTATATATCTCACCTTATTCTTCCCCCTTCGCCGTATGTCCCTAATAAGCGAGAGTTGCGCTTCACTCAGGTCATGTTTGGAGAGGCGCTCGTTGAATTCATCCATTGGCAAATTGATTATATCTTGTACATCTAATGGTATACCTTAAAAAAAAAACATAAACAATCATTTTTCTGAATTATAAACATAAAAATAACACGTTATTTCATTAAAAATTACACAAAAAAAACATAGAAGAAAAACATGTCAGTACATTTTGTGCATATTTTATTTGTGTGATTTTTGAGATATAATAGTTTAATTTTGTTTTTTTTGTTCTTGTGATTTTTTGTGCTTATTTGTTTTTGTTATTTTTCGTGTTTCTTTGTTTGTTTTAATATCACAAAAACACTCTTGAATGTATTAAAATAAGGATTTTTATTATTTGACTTTTTTAAATACATATATTTTATTATATATAGTGGATTTTGTAGTAAAAACAAATGTGTATTGACAAATTATTAAAATTGTACAAATTAAATTGTAATTTTGTTTCTACGCAGAGCTTCAGGTCGCGGATTCGAGTCCGACGTGATCAATAATCTAATACAAGTCACATAACTATTAAAAATAAGAAGTGTCCACCCACCAAAATCATTATTGAAATTTTGAGGGAAACATATATGAATAGAATTTACCTATCTATGTAAAAAACAAACTGTTTCCAATTTTTTTTATGATAACACTAAATCTCGTCAATAGCTACTGAACAAAAAAAAAAGAAAATCGTTTGACAAACAGAGGAGAAAAGGTACTGAACAGTTTTGTCTTTGCCTATTTATATATAGATGTATCTGTATGTTTTAACTGTTTACAATTATTATTTGAATGTCACGTGATAAAGCCAATTTTAGCCAACAAAAAATTAAAAAAAAATCTCTATTAAAGGTTTAGACTAACTTTAAGACCTATCTGTGTGTGTATTTATTATAAATGCGAAAGTAACTCTGTTTGTTTGTCTGTCTGTCTGTCTGTCTGTTACCTTTTTACGTTTAATCTGCCGAACCGATTTAGAGGAAATTTGGTATGGAGGTAGTTCGAGACTCTGGGATGGACATGGGATAGTTTTTATCCCGAAAATAATTCCTTAGGGGGTGAGAAGGGGGCAGTTTTTATGGGGAATCAAACATTTCTCAAGTGAGGGACGGTTAGTATGGAATATAAAGACTATATATTATATATACATCGGTGTGATTTGTTGTGGGTTGTATTACAACGTGCTTTCCCGCGGTAAGAAGTAGCCTACATCACTCTCCAGCCCTCCACACAAAAAAACACGCCAATCCGTCACTCTGTTTCGGCATGAAAGAAGGATAAACAAATAAACACTTTCACATTTATAACATTAGTATGGATATGGATATAGTGTCTATCTATTCGATACTATGCGTATGTATGTTTGTATGTATGTATGTATGTATGTATGTACACTCACCGAGTGCCTTCGCTCGCTTCTCGTCGCGCGTGAGATGCCCCGCGACGCTCCCCGCGTCCGACGTACTGCCGTCTGTGAGACGACGTACTAAAACAAACGCAATTAATTAAAAAAATAATATTATGTATGTATGTACATATATATAATAAATCTAGTACCTGGGCGACCGAGCTTCGCTCGGAGTTTTTAACTAAAAACTTGAATAAATACAAGAAAAAAACAAAAGTAAAAACTTTTTATCCGACCGGGAATCGAACCCGCATACCTATCATTGTCAATCTTGAGCCTTAGCCGTTTGATCACGAAGCTTATGCCCGAGCGTGCGAAATTAGCGACCATATATATTTTGCGTGGAATGATGCGAAAAACCGCATGAAAACTCGAAAACACGTTTTTCCAGACATAATACTAATCAAGAACGATGTTTCGCCCTCGAAAACCCCCCACATACCAAATTTCAGCGAAACCGTTAAAGCAGTTTCCGAGATCACCGGTATAAATATACAAGAATTGTTCTTTTAAATATAATACTTTCTCAGATTTACGCGAATATTTGGCTTTTTAAATAAAATTGGCTTTTTGGACTTATTTTGATGTTTGGTTTCGGATGTTTCTAATGCTTTACACTTACAGCAATCATAGTATCGGGAGACTCCTTCTTTGAAAATGTTATTTTAACAACACGTCAGTTCTTATATCATCAATAGATGGCGCTGTGAATATTGATACAAAAAAAAACCAGTGTTCTCTCTGGCAAAATCGGCTAAGTTAATTTGTGTTTTTGTAAAAAAAAATGTTTATGTTATTTAAATTGTGTGTTAGTTTCAATTAGTGTACTACAAAATATCCAGTCATTATATAATTTTTTTTTATTTATTTTATATAGATACTTGGTAAGTATCGCTAAGCCCTAAAAATAGTAAAAATTTTATCTTTAGACTTATTAAAAGTTCCAAAATGAAACAACCAAATGTTCTATTTAATCACACGTTATGATGTTTTCTTTATTTTTAATGTATCCCAATAAAATAAGCACAAAAAACTTAATAAAGAAATTTTAAACAATAACTCTATCAAAAAAAAACAAAGTAAAAACATATTATGAAAAAAAAAAATTGAAAAAAATCAAGACTAGGTAAAATTTTGAAAAACTTGAGGTAAAAATTTGAAACAAAAAGCCATTCTTACCTCGTTTGTCCCGTGTATGTTGCCTTGCTTCAGCGGGCGGTAAGGGAGCACTGTATGTGTGGTTGTGTCGCACTCTATCCCCGGAACCGAACCCGAAACGAGGGGGACTCACTGATGGCACTGCGTTCTGTTAGTAGACGAGAGAATAAAATCGATTTTTAGTAACGATTATTTAAGAAAAATTTAATCGATCACGGGACTATTTTAAGCATTTTTAAAAGTTTTTTATTATTAATCATAAAAAATTGATACGCAAAGATCCTTAATATTGAAATAAAATCAATCATTATCGATCGGCTTCGAAGTTTCTCAAATTCTTAATCATATAATTCTTTTTCTACACAAACATACATACAGAATAACTTAAATTTCAATAATCTAAAAACCGCTAAGTTAAAAAGTGAAATAAATATTCCTAAGCCCTTTTCTAACGTAGATATTATTCTACATAAATTATGACGACTCCTTACCTGTAAAAGAGCGTGACTGGAGTGCGGCGTGTTGAGGTCGATGGCCGACTGTAGCGTGGTCACGTGTGGGACGATCTGGTGACGGGGTGGATATTCCACTGAAAACGGTGGAAATAATAAAAAAAATAGTAAATTTATATTTATATATAAGTATATCATCCATCCAGGCAGTGGTAGCTCAGTGGTAACGCGCTCGCTTGGAAAACCGAGGGAAACGGGTTAAAATCCCGGATCTCGCACTTCTGATAATTTAATGTGCGAATCATTTCCAACAACAGGCATGGCACTACAGTGCTTTGAATACGATACCGTTCGCAATGAAAGTGACTCCTTAAATAGCCCTCGTATTTACCGGGAATTTTTGCATTTTCGTTAACATCAAAGGCGACCATATACTTTACCTATGGATTTTTACACTGTGGAATTGTAAAAAAGTTTGTTACTATGCTAAGATTGATGAAAGCAGTAGATTTAGACCTAAAATATAATAAAAATAACACAGCACCATCTAGTTCCATGGTAAGCTACGAGGCCTGTGTTGTGGATACCAGATAGTTGATACACTACACATATATAACTTTAAATACATACAAATTATAAAAAAAATTTTTATAGACAACTCACCGTTATGCATTTGCATGTTTTCGTGGTACGTTTGTTCGCACTCGTACTTGACCACTGGTGGTCGAGGGACTAGGGGCTCGAGGGTTGGGGGGGTGGCTTGTTCCTATGGGAAAATAGAAATAAGTATAAATATTGAGATATTTCTTTATGTGTATCGCCATTTTTTTTCTAAAACTTGTACATGCTATTTTTAAAATAGGAAAAATATTTCACACACTTTTTTTGAGCTAAGATCATCCGCTTAATAAATGAATCAAAAAAACACTATCAGAAAAACAACGCACAGCCTGAAGGTTGGCTCTAGAAACATAAAAGCGAACTTAAGAATACACAATACCTAAGAAGAAGAAACAGAAAGAAGATAAAACAAGAATACCATACCTGGAAGCATCTCTTTCCGAACATATGATGTTTCTTCTGAGGAGCGTGAGACGCTCGGTCTCTTCCATACGCGCCTTCGTAAGGTCGGAACTTCGAACTGAAAATAATGTTTCATTTCATTACGAGTACTAGTATTATAAATGCGAAAGTTTGTATGTATGTTTGTCCTTCCTTTACACTGTAACGGCTCGACGGATTTTGATGATATTTAGTGCACAGATAGACAAACTATGAGCTGGAGTAACACATAGTCTACTTGTTAATAACATAATTTGCCAAATTATGGCGCTAATTGTATTAAGTACTTAGGGACGCACAAGAGCGAAGCGAGAGTAAGCCGCAGAAATCAAAATAATTGTATTTACATTTCGTGTGCGACGATTTCGTGATAAATTATAAAAGAAATATATATGACATTTTTAAATATATTAATCAATTTTTAAAATTGGTAAAAAACTAGAAATTTTTCATACCTATGGAACTCTTGGGCTGAATCACTTCCGTCACACCACTCTCCGTCGGACAGAGACGGAACTCTCTCAGAGCCCATTGATGAAACGGCACTGTCGGACGCCGAATCTCTCTCTGCGATACGAAATAAAAATAAGAAATTAATTAAATAGTCATTACAAATTTTGAAGTAACAATTGATAATAAATTATAAATCCACAATTATTCCAAAACGCTAATTTTTTTAATTTTCAAAATTTTACTCTTCATATTTTAATAGTTGAATCTTATGTTACCCAACAGTCCTTATAAATATGAAAATTTAACTATCCATATAAAACATTTAAAATTTTACTCTATATTACATTTTAAAAATTTGACAACTCACCGTTCGTCATCGGCATTTGAGTGTGGTTGTGTGGCACATGCGTCGCCGACGCACCGTCCAGCATGCGCATTGTGTACATGCCTGGAAGTAATTTAATCGTTATTACATTATTTCCTTATATAAAAATATAAATCTATAAGTTAAAATCTTTTAAAATGCACAAAATTTGAAAGTGCCAGAACATAATAATGGTACTTTCTAGCACTTTCAAATGTTTTGCATTTACAATATAACACAGATTTACAAATTAATAAAATTAAAAAAATAATGACATTACTAATGAAAACTAAAAGTGAATAAACTCAAACATAAAATATAAGCCTCCATTTTCTTAATAATTTTAAAATAACTTTTTAATTAAAAAGTAATACAAATATCAATCAATAGGTGGCGTTATATTAATCAATTAGCTGTTGATGTTTATTACTATTTAAAATCCTACCGAAAAAGTTTTATTGTTGCTGTCATCATGGTTTAAGGACGACCCATAGAAATATGCTTTTTAAATATTTGACATTTATGCTTCATAGTTCATTTAGATGCGCGCCGTCTTTTGACCGACTTTAAGGAGGAGAAGATACGGATACGATAAGGAGGAGAGGAGGGTTCTTTGCGAATGCAATGTAATATATTCGCCAATTGCAAATCGATTTTCGAATTATTTTTTTATAAACAGGTTATTATACCTCAAGACTTCTCAAAATTAATACTACTTGCTAGTATATAATACCCCTTTAAGAAGTTTTCAAAAATATCATCATTATTATTATTATTATAAATTTTATTTTCATCACTTAGTTCTCTATTCTTAGTGCATCGATATACATATACTCGTAGATATAAAAAAACTGTTTATCTGCACTTGAGATATGACGTGTCAGTTGTTAAGAGCTTTAAAAGATAGTCCACAAAAAATATGTGTAATTGGATAATAACCGCTCATAACTAATTTAAAGTAATTAGCAATATTTGAGGAGACAAAGGTTAAAATCGATAAGATATTAAGCTATAAATAATAATTTAAACATAAAATTAAAAAAAAAATCTCAAAGTGTGAGTGTGCGCATTTGCAATTATCTCTTTTGTGGAAGAGTTGCGGTTTACCATTTTTTTAACTAGTGATAAGCCCTCGCTTCGCTTATTTCTTGCGTATCTAAGTACTTTTTTTCAAGACTATTAATTTTTAATCGTTTTTAACAAAAAAAGGCACAACAATTCCATACTGTAGAGTAGTATTCCAATAATAGAAAAAAGAAAATAGATCCACAATCAGTGAAGAGATCAATCGTCTTATACCGCTCACGCAAATTCGCAATTATAAAATTTAATAAGAATTCAAAAATGATTATTGAGAAACATATTACTTATATGTTTTTTGACATTTAGACATTTCTGGATATATTTAAGCAGAGTTTGGGAAGCGAGATGTGTATAAAGCTATCGCCCATGCGCATCATCTCTCAATCCTTTACGAAGCTTTTTGACTGAACTACGAGTCCACCATGCGCATGCACGAATTGCACTATAACATCTCCTGCGCCTATAGCTAGGCCACTAGTCTTAGTAAAATTAGTCACTATCACGTATTAACAAGTAATTTATAATCTTTTGATATGACTAATAATTATTATAAAAGCTTTTATTTGTTTTCGATACTGCTCCAGATTATCGCTTCTAATCTAAAACATGATAATTATGTAAGAAAAACATTTATAATTACGAAGTAATATTCGCTTTAATGTGTTTTTTGCTGACATATATGTTTATAGCAATAATAATGTAAATCCTGACCGTTTTACGCCACGGAGGCCAATCTGAGGTTAGACAACTGCATGAGATATTATAGTGTAGAGAGTGTGAGAGACGCACAAACAACGTACATTCTCTATTCCTTTCACTCTGAAAGTCCAGTGGAACAACCATTGAACACGATTGGAGAGAAATCAGATGCTGGACTGATGGCTTTAGTTGCTATCCAAAGTATTTTAATGTAACATCCCGAACTTCTCAAGTCTGAACCTATACTGAGAGCTTCTTAACTGATAAACCTTATAACTATACTTGGCTCGATCTGGGACTCGAACCCGGGGTATCCAGATGTACAGCCGCACATGCTAGCTAATAAATCAACGAGACAGAAGGAAAATTATACTATGTACATCTAATACTGTTAAAGTGTGTTTTGTTCAGATATTTTTTGTTGGGATATAAAAGAAACCAAAATACAAATGTATTCTAACATTTTGTACATCTTCAAGGCAACTCGATGCGCTCAACTACTCGATAGACAGATTTGAATAAAACTTTTATGATATATGTATATTTTAAATAAAAAAAATACAACTAGATACATTCCTAATACCTAATTAGTAATATATTTTCCTTAATTAATAAACCAACATAATAAGGTTATAGATACTCACACAAAATATTACTTGAACTAGTAAAACTTCATTTAATCAAAATTAAAAAAAAAAATATATATATAGGACCTAACTAACCAATTACAAAAACAACTTTCAATAGTAATGGTGGCTAAGGCATTTTGATAAAAAATTTGACAGTCATGATGACTGATGATATTTCATTATTACACGTGATGTTTGTTTTCGCGTTATCTTGAAACAACGAACTGATATATTCATGTCACAAGAAAATGTTATATCCTTCGCTGCTAATCAGAATACTGTCATAAACGTAAAGTTTGTATGTATGTGTGTTTGTTACTCCTTTACTGGATTTGGATGAATTTAATACACAGATAGACCAGAACCTAGGGTGACACATAGGCGAGAGGTGAGTAAACACCCAAGAGGAGCGAGGGTAAATCACAAGTATTATATATGTGTAAGTCAAAAGTGTATGTTAGTTTGTCCAACTTAAAGGTAGCAATAGATGATGGAAAATATAATTCCACTAAAGTGCAGGTTTCTGTAAGTAAAGTATCACAAAGGAATTTTGTATATATTATAAAAAAAAAGCCTCACTCCTGAGAAGAACTGGCAAAAGGAGAGCAGCTGGTTTTTTTTTAAATTATAAATGCTAGAGAATCCTTCTGGAACAATTGGGATTTAAACGCAGCAATGGAATGGTAAAAGTGCTAATAATTGTTATTAAACTTATAAATACTCTAACATTGCCTGGACACATTTTTCCCGTGATAGCTTAAGTTCTATAAAATTATTTATTGTATAAAAAGTTTCTATTAACATTTTTTTAATTCAGCAATAGAAGCATCGATTTGCCGTCTAAAACATGTAATCGGTGTATACGAAACTAAGTTTGGAAAACTCTGCCTCTTGATGTTGTTTTCCTCTATTTGTATAAAGTTTATAGCATCTTAATCTTATTTAAACCAATTAGGTTTTCCCCTCATTGTCATTTACATTGTTCTAGTTATCATTAGTGTTGTTGTAAACTTGTTTTTGATAATTTATGTAGAAATTACCTATAGGGTAAAAATTTGAAAAATTAGGTAAAAGGGTAAATTTTTGAAATGTAATTTAATTTTTTTCAATTTTTCTTTGAAGGGTATATTTTTAAGCTTTCTCATCACAGATTGGAACTCACCATCATATAAATTGTAGTAGTTGTAATAATCGAGATCGAGTCGAAATAGGGGATTGAAATACGTTGGTACCGGATAAAAAGGGGATGCATACGAGTAATGTGCGGATGTATGCATTTTTGTCGAAAATCCTTATTTAAAGTGCTTCAATTATAAATATCTGCTGTCACAAAAATAATCTTTTATCTTCAAGACAAAGTGCGTCACGAATTATCTTCTGATGGAAAAGATAAAATCTTCCTTCTCTTTCTAATTGAGAGTTATAAACCTCCTCTGACGTTTCACAATTGTAAAATCGTTCAAACAAAACGTTATACTCGACAGCTTAATATCTGTGCAAATACGCCTTCATTGTATAGGCATTATTTAATACTAAATAAGACAATATGGAAAATTCTAGACGTCTCATTTTGTGCTGATACTTTTCCGATATTTGAACGACCAGAGGCAAAAGTTGTATCGTTTTAGGACAGCCACCGGCACTTTGGTTAGCGAGTCGCAGGATATCCTTGGTCTTCTTAGAGCGCAGCAAGATGCACATAGGCAAGTGCAACAGTCGTTAACGTGCACCTTTCTACTCTTCTTTGAACGTTGGTTCAAAAAGTATGTCATATGTAGGCTTTTTCGTTACTTTGAAGTAGAAAACACGGAAAGTCTTCAAAAAAGTTTGTATTACACGAATTTCGGGCACAGACTAAATTTTATTACAAAAAGTTTCACTGAAAATCACCAAAACACTAAAAAAGAATCACTCCAGAAAATACTTCTTAACGAACAATCTGTATACGTATGAGAAAATTTCCATTTTGATCAAAAAAAATATATATTAAAATAAGTCCTTTATCAAACCACTATTTTTAATCCGGGGAAAATAATAAAAAAAAAGAAATAGCCCAGCGCTATAAAACACCTTACACACGAACGAGGCAAGATAGAATGTCATAAAGCCTTATCGCGAAGACTAATTAAAGTGGTATAGAGTAAATACGCTTATCATATTTAAATCTTAATATTTGTTTAACGATTTCGTGTAATCTCACAGATGCGTCCATTTGGTTTCGCTTTGATTCCTGACTGTTGCTTTCTGCCTGACCTTATATAGGCCATTTGTTGATAAGACGATAAGTCGATTGTTCATTCATCGATTCTAATCAGAGTGGGATATATAAGTATCTATACAGATAAATAATATTGAAGTATCTGTTTGTAATGTCAAAATAACAGTTTTATACTAAATTCATATGAAATTATATATAGTGCTCATAATAAAAACACATTTTTAAATTTTTTGTCTGTCTGTCTGTTTGTTCCGGCTAATCTCCGAAACGGCTGGACTGATTTCGACGGGACTTTCACTGGTATATAGTTGATGTTATAAGAGGTAACTTAGGCTAGTTTTATTTAGAAAAAGAATTGGAGTTCCGCTCAAAATAATTAAAACGTACCTGAGCAAAGCCGCTAGTAATTAATTAAAAAAAAAAACTAACCTTCATTCATAGCCATATCCATCAGTTGAAGGTCTTCGTCATTCAATATGGATTGAAGAAACCCATCCTGATTCGGTGGCGCCATTTCTGACGTGGAATTCTGTAATAAATTAGACCAATATTATAAATGCGAAAGTTTGTATGTGTGTATGTATGTTTGTTACACCTTCACGCTAAAGTGTCTGGATGGATTTTTATGGAATTCAGTACAAAGATAGACTATATCCTGGAGTACCTTTAAATATCCTGAAGACGTGAGTCGCTAGTAATATATATATATATATATATATATATATATATATATACATATATAATCGAATCGTTATTTCCGTCTGTTGATAGGCATAGATAGTATAATGTATGATATAAACTTTGATGTGGGTTTTGATCAACTGGCATAAAAACCGAGTAAAACGAGATCAAATCCCGGGTCAAGCACCTGTGATATTTTCATGTGCGAATCATTTCCAACACCAACTTGTCTTACGGTGAAGGAGAACATCGTGAGGAAACCTGCATGTCTGAGAGAACCTAGCAAGTTGTCTGCAGACATGCTCAGTCCGCCCGCACTTGACCAGGGTGGTGGACTATGGCCTGATCCCACGCATTGAAGGAGGCCCAAGCCCAGAAGTGGGATGTTAAAAAGGACTCAATATATTATAGAATGATATTTTGTATAAGACCATACATACCTGGTAATACACAGGCTCATGTTGTTGAGGATGATGAGCAGATTCCACTTTATATGCGTTTTCGATAGGTGCGGCGGCGCCTGTAACAAAATAAATAGCAAAATTCTCACTCTCTAATTTTTAACCCCTGACGCAAAAATGAGCGTTATGAGTTTAACGTGTGTATCTGTCTGTGGCATCGTAGCGCCTAAATCGATGACCCGATCTTAATTTAGTTTAGGTTCTAGGTAGTAAACGTACCTAGGAACGAAGCCGAGTGAAGCGAGGGTGAGCCACTGGTTGATAAATATAATGTAACTTCGATATTTAAAAGAACAACTGTTTGAGTTTCTTTTGGGCTCTTCTTCAACAGTACTGCATATAATTCTAATTGAAAAAAAAAAGATTCCGACGAATTGAGAGCCTCCTCCTTTTTGGAAGTCGGTTAATAAAATATATTTCGTTTCTTGTAAATACACCGACTTCAAAATCCCTCCACCCTTAAGGATGGAATTTTTACTTAACCATTATATACTACGTTTGAATTATAACTTATTCATTAAAAAAATGAAACAGAACCTTTATTTTTGAAGTCGGTCAAATAGCTTAGAAAAAAATCGGATAAAATGAATAGTGTTTGCTTACATGGTATACCGTATGGAAATAAATCATATCGTACCGTACGCCTCATGGTGTTTTTCTGGAACTGGTGGTATTGGGGCGTGGTAATTGGGAGCATAACCTGCTGCCCCATGGCTGGAAATAAAAAAATAAATATTCTTATTCTTATTCGCACTAATGTGGTACTATGGTTAAGGAGAACATCGTGAATAAACCTGCATGTCTGCAAGTTGTCGAAAGACATGCTCAGTCCGCCCTCACTTGGTAAGCGTGGTGGACTGTGGCCTGATCCTTCGTATTGATGGGAGTCTCACCACGAGCAGTGGGACGTCAAAAAGGGCTGAATGCACATATAAATTATAATGTGTCTGTATGTATGTTTGTTATTCCTTCTCACTGAAACGTCTGGACGGATTTGGATGTAATTCAGTACACAGATAGACTATGAGCCGGAGTTACTTAAAGGCTACTGTTAGTGATACAGTTTGCAAAAAGGTGGCGCTGTCTGTATACAATATTAAAAATACAATTTATAATTTTCCATTCCTAAACAAGGAAAAATTATGAAAAGATATATCTAAAACAAGTTTTTATTGATACATTACATATTTTTAATAACAAAGTCCTGCGTTGCACGCGACTTGATGTTAGATAGTATGTAGCGTTCTTTAACGAATATAGTATATACTAACCAACGCACTTCAGACTATGGAGGAGCGACTCACCATCGCTTCGCTCGGGTTCGTCCCTAGTTACGTTTTAACGTTTAGTATAGATTTCTCAGAGATGAGATATTTTCCCGCAGTAAAAAGTATCCTATATGTTAACCCGGATAACCAGCTATCATTATACCAAATTTCATCAAAATATGTCCAGTGGTTTTCTAGTGATGCGGTCACAGACAGACATAATAATATTAGCTTATTTAATTTTTTTCTTTATTATAATAAAATCTGTTAGCAATTCTTATTAATACTCAACAAAATAATGAATATTCTATTGATATTTGTATTCTGTTTTAAAACGTATTTTTTTAGAACATTATTTGGCTTCATGTTTAGTTCTATGACACTCTGTCTAAATTATTCCATAGCTTGAGATATGCTAAAATCTAACCGGAACTTCCAAAGATTTGCGCCTTAAAACTAACAAACAAGCAAATTGTCCATAATTACATGCATCTGTATAAATATTATAAATGTGAAAGTTGGTGAGTATGTATGGATGTTTGTTACTCTTTAACGCCAGAACGGCTGAACGGATCTGGATGAAATTTGGCACAGAGATAGATTATAGTCTAGAATAGCACATAGGTTACTTTCTATCTCGGAGAAATGTGTGGTTCACGTGGGATAGATTTGTTTTTGTTTTTCCAGAGGCGAACCCGAGCGAAGCGAGGGTGAGTCCCTAGTATATAATATACACGTATAAGTACGTTCACTCACCTAATATTGTGGGAGTGGGGGTGTGGGTGTGGATGGGGGTGGGTGTGGGCGTGGGCATGCTGGTAGTGCTGGTACTGGTCCGGCGGCGGCGGGATGGTCAGGAGAGACGCTAGATCTTGCCACCTCTGTTCCACTGACATAGAGCGCATGAGCGACTGCAACAAAATAAAAAAAAGTAAAATAAACACCTATTATTTTTAATGCGAAAGTTTGTTTTTTGATGGATGTTTGTTACTTTTTCACGCCAGAACGGCAGAACGGATTTGGATGAAATTTGGCACAGAGATAGATTTAATAGATTGGAATAGCACATAAGTTATTTACAACATTACCCCGTAAAAATGTACGGTTCCCGTGGGATAGATTTGTTTTTGTTTTTCACACAGCAACAACTATCTATTCCATACTAATCGTTACAACGTACCTACTGCCGAACCCGAGCGGAGCGAGGGTGAGTCGCTAGTGCCAGTCGCTAGTGCCAGTCGCCAGATAAATGCGAAAGTTTGTTTAATTATGTGTATATTTATTACTCCTTTACGCTGGAGTAGCACACATTAATACTAAAATATACCAAAAGGTGGCGCTGTCTTTATATAATATTATAAATATTGCTAAAAAGATTTAAAGATTTTTAGGCAAAGTAAAGTTTTTGAGTGCACGTTGTGTGTCTCTCTCCCTCACACGATGGACTATAATATCTCCTGCAGTTGGCTAGTCTCAGTGAGACTGGCCGCCGTGATCGACATCGGTCGGAAGGATATTATCATTACAAACAATTTCATACAAAGTTTTTAATCTACGCACAAACTGACACACGAAAAAAAATTAAGAACTGTCACTTTGACATCTACAAAAAGAAAGATACGTATAATATGTAGGTACCTACATAGGACATAAAATATAAAAATTCAATCAGTAACACCCTTTTTCGCTTACATACAGACATACAAACACGCTTTCATACATAACATATACGGTAACAAATATGTATATAGAAACTGTCCATCCACTTGTTTTAGGTAAAATCGTAGCATCACGTAAACCAATGAACTTTCTAATGTCAATATTTGATCGAAAACGCATTTATTAACGTACAGCTCTTACGTTGGAAGTCCAATTTTCTCAATTACCCGCGACATTTCACTGCTACTGTGGTGATGATTGTTGATTCGCAATTATATCTCTTAATCTGTATGATATAGAGTTTATTTTTAATTAAATATTTTACTTATACAATTTATATGTATATAAAATTCGAATGTATATCTGTGATTTCGAATTTACTGTCATCTTGACTGACTTCAAAGAGAAGAAGTATACAATTTGTTTAATGATTCTTGACATCTACCTGATATATAAAAATCAATTGCCTAAATCTCGCTAAAACTCAAAAGCGGCTGTACCGATATGAATAATATTTTTTTGTTTTGTAAGGGGTGGTTTAGGTATAAAAAAATAAATAGAGAAAACCCAAAAAAAACGCTGGAAAATCCGAAAAGTTCAGAAATTTTTGTTTTGTACCTATGCATGTATATATAGTCTATAATTCCACACTAACCGTTAAAACGTATCGAGGGACGAACTCGATTGAAGCGAAGGTGAGTCGCTAGTATATGTATATTATATGACGTGTGATATATTAATAGTATCTATCATAAAAATGAAAGTTAAACATTAAAAAAAAGTATTAATATATTGGACTTATCAAATCGAATCAAACTAGCACAAACTCTACGGTGTAACCAGTAGCCATTGTAGAGATCCACTATCAGCTCCTGGCTCCAGCATCAGGCCAGCTCGATGTCATTAAATTATTGTATTATGCAAATTTTATAATCAGTTTATTTACATGTTTAGTTCCAAGTGAAACTAATAAAGGCGTTATAAATAAATATTGTGTGACATTAACACACAGCACCATCTAGTTCCATGGTAAGCTACGAGGCTTGTGTTATGGATACCAGATAGTTGATACACTACACATATATAACTTTAAATACATATGTACATATTATAAATATAAACACCCATGCTGGAGTTCAAACATTCTTGCTCATCACACAAAGAATGCCCAGCGGGACTCGAACCCGCGACCGCTGGCACAGCAAGTACGGTGAGCCAAACGTGTCGTCAAAACTTTCGCATTTATAGTAATATCCCGATTAATTACTATAATATAAATAACGTTCAAGCGTTTTGCTTCTAGCATTAATATACGGATGATCCCGTTTTAAACGATAGTTAAATCTTACCGGTACTGTTAAAGTTTCTATAAAAACTAATCGAGTACCGCAGTTTTGCTCGTTTTTATATTGTCGACACGTTTGGCTCAGTTTGTAGTGAACCTATTTGCTGTGTCAGCGGTCACGGGTACGATTCCCGCTGGGGGGTTCATTTGTGTGATGAGCACGAATGTTTATACTCCAGTCATGGATGTTTATATTTATAATATGTATGTATTTAAAGTTATATAATATATGTATTGTATCAACTATCTGGTATCCATAACACAAGCCTCGTAGCTTACCATGGAACTAGATGGTGCTGTGTATTAATGTCCCAATATATTCATATGTAGGTTTGTTACTCCTTCACGCTGTTACGGCTGGACGGATTTAGATGAAACTTTGTACACCGATAATCTATGAGCTAGAGTAACACATAGGCTGTTAGCAGCTAGGGACGTACTCGGGCGAAGCGATCGTAAGTCGCTAGTATATAAACAATACATAGTATCGGTTTAGATTGTCTATATATAAATATTAAATAGGCAAAGACAAAACAGTTCAGTAACTTTTTCTCCTCTGTTTGTCAACCTTTCTTTTTTTTGTTTAGTACCTACCTATAGACAGGCTTTAGTGTTATCAAATAAAAAAAAAATTAATCAGATTTTTTATATACATAGATAAATTTTATTCATATATGTTTTCCTCAAATTAATAATGATAATTCTCGAATTTCTACCACTAGGCCAATAATACCGGTAGGCTAAATACTCGTAAAATTTAACTCTCGCTTAAGAAAACATCCGTTTGAGGTATTATTTTAGAAGCAAATCTCTTTACTATTAGTCGCGAACCGAGAAATCAGTCACTTATTTCTCTCTCTCTCTCTCTCTTTCTCCTCATCCCGTTAAGAACGATCTATTTTTCACGCTACAGCGTGAATACAATGTGTATAGTGTATGTGGACACACCCTTACTCTTTCTCTCTCGTCATCCCGTTAAGAACGATCTATTTTTCACGCTCCAGCGTGAATATAACGTGTTTATAGTGTATATGGACACACCCTCTCTCTCTCTTTCTCCTCGTCCCGTTGTGAATCTATATTTCACGCTACAGCGTGAATATAATATGTATAGTGTATGTGGACACACTCTTACTCTCTCCTCATCCCGTTAAGAAAGATATATTTTTCACGCTCCAACGTGAATATAACGTGTTTACAGTGTATGTGGACACACCCTTACTCTCTTTTTCCTCTTTTTCCTTAAAAACGATCCATTTTTCACGCTCCAGCGTGAATATAACGTGTTTATAGTGTATGTGGACACAGCTTACACACTCGCGTGCCATTATACACGCACCGTTTTCTTGTTAAGAGTGCTATACTAACATTAGTTTAAAATAAACCGTTCGATTTGAGTGTTTGCTCTTCAGAGTTGTATTTATTTTGGTTTAGACCAAAAAGAAATGTGGAATATTTATCAAATTTTCATGTAAATTAAAACATGTTTCACTTGTTAATATTTACGGCTTCTGTTGTGGTAGGAACGTCAATAAAATATAATAATTATGTAGGTATGTAGTTTCGACGACACGTTTGGCTCAGTTTGTAGTGACCCTACTTGCTGTTGCCAGCGGTCGCGGGTTCGCTGAACGGATCTGGATTAAATTTGGCACAGAAATAGATTATAGTCTGGAATAGCACATAGGTTACTTTTTATCCCGGAAAAATGTACGGTTCCCGTGGGATAGATTTATTTTTGGTTTTCACTAGGGACAAACCCGTAGTAAGTATAAATAAAAAATACTTCTAGGATCAGAATGTTGGTTTTAGATTCGATTATTGATTCCTCGTCGATGCAAAACAAATACTTACTTAGCCATAAGATATTTCAATTTCGTCACATCTGAGGCACTTTTAAAAAAGATTATAAGCGAAATTCAAATGTTTGGAAAACGGTAGCTTTGATAAACATCGCGTCATTTGTGGACAGTTTAAGAGTTTCCAGATATCACCATGACAACGCAATTAGACAGATGCAAATGCGAGATGAAATTTCTACTTTTTAAAGCCTCTTAAGCTGTATGGTTATTGTAAGCTAATATTTGCTTTACGCTGGAAATAAATCTTGGACTTCTGTTTGGACAAACAATAATATGTCTAAACTAGCGCGATTCACCCTCGCTCATCTCGGGTTCGTCCCTACACACGTTTTAACGGTTAGCATAGATTTTTCAGAGATGAGATATTTTACCGCAGTAAAAAGTATCCTATATGTTGACCCGGATAACTAGCTATCATCATAAAAGATTTCATCAAAATCTGTCCAGTGGTTTTGTCGTGATGCGTCCCCAGAAAGACAGACAAACAATCTAAAAAGTATAGATTCGGCCTCGGTATCGATAATAATAACTATTTCAATAAGATTTTCCAAAAAATATTTAAGGTACAGATTCGACTCAGAATTTTATTATATGTATAGATAGATCACGATCAAAATTAATTCATTACGGAGATATCGTCCATTTTCTATACCTAGTTGCTAGGTACAATATATATATATATAAAATAAACATGTTATGTGCAATATTTTTCTGACTAAAAAGGTACATTAACTTCAAAATTATTTAAAACTAATAATTTCAATCTTAAGACGTTTTTTTTAATAAAAAAAAACTCATAAACGTCAATTCCCAATTGGCAAAGATATAACGTAACATATATACATATAAGAAGATGCTAAATTTGACGCACAAAATCCACCATAGTGTTATATACGTACATCTATACATATAATAAAATTGTAACTAAGCCGAATCTGTGCATTAGATATTTTTTGGAAAATCTTATTGAAATAAACATTATTATCGATAGAGACGCCTAATCTACGGTTTTTAGAATTTTTGTCTGTCTGTCTGTCTGTTACCG